GCACAGACCCCTGAGGGGCCCCCGTGTTGAGGGTCAGCGTGGCGGATGTGTTGCTGCCTACCCTTACCACTTGGGGGCGGCCGTCAGGAAGTCCAGGATCCAGTTGCAGAGGGAGGTGTTTAATCCCAGGGTCCTTAGTTTAGTGATGAGCTTGGAGGGCATAATGGTGTTCCTATGCTGAGCTGTAGTCAATGAACAGCATTCTCACGTAGGTGTTCCTTTTGTCCAGGTGGGAAAGGGCAGTGTGGAGTGCAATAGAGATTGTGGATCTGTTGGGGTGAATTGGAGTGGGTCCAGGGTGTCTAGGATGATGATGTTGATGTGAGCCATGACCAGCCTTTCAAAGCATTTCATGGCTACAGATGTGAGTGCTACGGGTCGGTATTCATTTAGACAGGTTACCTTGGTGTTCTTGAGTACAGGGACTACGGTGGTCTGCTTGAAACATGTAGATATTACAGACTGGCTCAGGGAGAGGTTGAAAATGTAAGTTAAACACTTGCCAGCTGGTCAGCGAATGCTCAGAGTATGCGTCCTGGTAATCCGTCTGGCCCTGCGGCCTTGTGAATGTTAACCTGTTTAAATGTCTTACTCAAATCGGCTACGGAGAGCGTGATCAGACAGTCGTCCAGCTGGTGCTCTCATGCTGGTTTTGCTAGCCTCGATGCGAGCATAGAAGGCATTTAGCTCATCTGGTAGGTTCACGTCACTGGAGAGCTCGCGGCTGGGTTTCCCTTTGTAATCCATGATAGTTTGCAATCCCTGCCACATCTGACGAGTATCAGAGCCGGTGTAGTAGGATTTGATCTTGGTCCTTTATTGATGCTTTGCCTGTTTGATGGATCGTCGGAGGGTGTAGCGGGATTTTCTTATAAGCGTCCGGATTAGTGTCCCCCTCCTTGAAAGCGGCAGCTGTAGCCTTTAGCTCAGTGCGGATGTTGCCTGTAATCCATGGCTTCTGGTTGGTATATATACAGTGGGGAAAAAAAGTAATTTAGTCAGCCACCAATTGTGCAAGTTCTCCCACTTAAAAAGATGAGAGAGGCCTGTAATTTTCATCATAGGTACACGTCAACTATGACAGGCAAATTGAGAAAAAAAAATCCAGAAAATCACATTGTAGGATTTTTTATGAATTTATTTGCAAATTATGGTGGAAAATAAGTATTTGGTCACCTACAAACAAGCAAGATTTCTGGCTCTCACAGACCTGTAACTTCTTCTTTAAGAGGCTCCTCTGTCCTCCACTCGTTACCTGTATTAATGGCACCTGTTTGAACTTGTTATCAGTATAAAAGACACCTGTCCACAACCTCAAACAGTCACACTCCAAACTCCACTATGGCCAAGACCAAAGAGCTGTCAAAGGACACCAGAAACAAAATTGTAGACCTGCACCAGGCTGGGAAGACTGAATCTGCAATAGGTAAGCAGCTTGGTTTGAATAAATCAACTGTGGGAGCAATTATTAGGAAATGGAAGACATACAAGACCACTGATAATCTCCCTCGATCTGGGGCTCCACGCAAGATCTCACCCCGTGGGGTCAAAATGATCACAAGAACGGTGAACAAAAATCCCAGAACCACACGGGGGGACCTAGTGAATGACCTGCAGAGAACTGGGACCAAAGTACCAAAGCCTACCATCAGTAACACACTACGCCGCCAGGGACTCAAATCCTGCAGTGCCAGACGTGTCCCCCTGCTTAAGCCAGTACATGTCCAGGCCCGTCTGAAGTTTGCTAGAGTGCATTTGGATGATCCAGAAGAGGATTGGGAGAATGTCATATGGTCAGATGAAACCAAAATATAACTTTTTGGTAAAAACTCAACTCGTCGTGTTTGGAGGACAAAGAATGCTGAGTTGCATCCAAAGAACACCATACATACTGTGAAGCATGGGGGTGGAAACATCATGCTTTGGGGCTGTTTTTCTGCAAAGGGACCAGGACGACTGATCCGTGTAGAGGAAAGAATGAATGGGGCCATGTATCGTGAGATTTTGAGTGAAAACCTCCTTCCATCAGCAAGGGCATTGAATATGAAACGTGGCTGGGTCTTTCAGCATGACAATGATCCCAAACACACCGCCCGGGCAATGAAGGAGTGGCTTCGTAAGAAGCATTTCAAGGTCCTGGAGTGGCCTAGCCAGTCTCCAGATCTCAACCCCATAGAAAATCTTTGGAGGGAGTTGAAAGTCCGTGTTGCCCAGCGACAGCCCCAAAACATCACTGCTCTAGAGAAGATCTGCATGGAGGAATGGGCCAAAATACCAGCAACAGTGTGTGAAAACCTTGTGAAGACTTACAGAAAACGTTTGACCTGTGTCATTGCCAACAACGGGTATATAACAAAGTATTGAGAAACTTTTGTTATTGACCAAATACTTATTTTCCACCATAATTTGCAAATAAATTCATTAAAAATCCTTCAATGTGATTTTCTGGATTTTGTTTTCTAATTTTGTCTGTCATAGTTGATGTGTACCTATGATGAAAATTACAGGCCTCTCTCATCTTTTTAAGTGAGAGAACTTGCACAATTGTTGGCTGACTAAATACTTTTTTCCCCCACTGTACCTACGGTCACTGTGGGGATGTTGTCGATGCACTTATTAATGAAGCCGGTGACTGATGTGGTAAACTCGTCAATGCCATTGGATGAATCCCGGAACATATTCCAGTCTGTGCTAGTGTAACAGTCCTGTAGCTTAGCATCCGCTTCATCTGACCACTTCCATATTGAGCTTATGATTGAGCTCAGTGTAAATTACAACGAACGAACAATAAAGTCATTGCTATCATATCAGTCATTGCTATCATAAGTAAACTGAAACAAATTAACAATTGCCTAATGAAGATTACGTCTAAATGCAAAGAAAATCATACAGTATTTGATATGAACTCCCATGATAGGTAGGCTTTAACCATGTAAGATGTTGATTTCTAAAAATCATAAGGTTATTAAGTCTATCAGTGAAAATATAGCATGAAATGTCCTTTAGACAGATCACTGGCTCTACTTGTCAAAAGTATGACAATAGTTCATATTTCATCAGTTCAATGACATAGTTTACATAAAAAAATAATGAGCTGAGATCACTATGACACCTTTTTTTCAGACCAGGCTTTGAATTGCAGCCCTGTTTCTTGGCAAACATATAGACACATCCGAAGAGACAACATAGTCTCCAATGCTTCCCACAGTTGTGTCAAGTTGGCTGAATGTCCTTTAGGTGGTGGACCATTCTTGATACACACAGGAAACTGTTGAGCGTAAAAAACCCAGCAACGTTGCAGTTCTTGACACACTTTAACCGGTGCGCCAGGCACCTACCACCATACCCCGTTCAAAGGCACTTAAATATTTTATCTTGCCCATTCACCGTCTGAATGGCACACATACACAATCCATGTCTTAATTGCCTCAAGGCTAAGAAATCCTTCTTTAACCTGTCTCCTCCCCTTCATCTGCAGTTGAAGTCGGAAGTTTACACACACCTTAGCCAAATACATTTAAACTCAGGTTTTTCACAATTCCTGACATTTAATCCTAGTAAAAATTCCATGTCTTAGGTCAGTTAGGATTAACACTTTATTTTGAGAATGTTAAATGTCAGAATAATACTAGAGAGAATGATTTATTTAAGCTTTTATTTCTTTCATCACATTTCCAGTGGGTCAGAAGTTTACATACACTCAATTAGTATTTGGTAGCATTGTGTGGAGTGGTTGAAAAACGAGTTTTAATAATAATAAAATAAAATAATATGCCATTTAGCAGACGCTTTTATCCAAAGCGACTTACAGTCATGCGTGCATACATTTTTTTTTGTATGGGTGGTCCCGGGGATCGAACCCACTACCTTGGCGTTACAAGCGCCGTGCTCTACCAGCTGAGCTACAGAGGACCACTTAATGACTCCAACCTAAGTGTATGTAAACTTCCAACTTCAACTGTATACTGATTGAAGTGGATTGACATCAATAAGGGATCATATCTTTCAGCTGGTCAGTCTTTGTACAATCAGTGTTCATGTTAAGGTAAATTATAAAAAAATTGCATCTGTCTCACCTTTGATCTCCACTGATTGAAGGCTCTCTCCGTAGCACATTGCTCCAGAGCTTGTATGCTGCAATTGCTTGACTGGTTCCCCTACTGACGTCAAATTCCATTGTTTCAGAACACCAAACATCCAGAACTTTCAAAAGTACTTTACGAACCGTTTGTTTAAAATTAATATTGTTACTTTTTGTTCATAAATAGACTGAAAAACAATACTATGGTACCTAGTGAAGGGTTTCCTTCTCCATGACCCCTTGTTTCATATACACCCTTTAACACCACTGATGAGTTTGTGGTTTGAACTCAAACAAATGCTTACACACCAATACACACACATATTATAATAATGTTGCAGTTATTGTAAAGCATGTAAAGATACATATTCTATAAAATCTTTAAAGAAGATTTGTATTTTATGAAAGGATGAAAGGAACATTTTATTTTCTTGTAGTGTTCTGAATGTTTCTTAATATTCATGGACAGAAGAATATGTGCTTTAGAAAATTGTATTGCAGAGAGGTTTACTAACCCATAGATTGCAGACAAAATGTCATAAATGTAGAATAAAGGTTGTTTTCTTTATATCATGGGAAAAAGTGTATGTTAAGCACTACTTCAGATTTTGGGGGATTTATTTTGTTATGAAGGACAGTAAACACATTAGAGCGATGCAAATTTACTACAGTAAACTCAACCATAAAGTACTAACATGAAGGACAACTCTATAGATACAGACACCATTTACAACCAATTTGAAAGAAGAAGAAGAGATCAGGGGTCAAGTAACTTAAAAATGTGAGGTCAAACACAAGGCTAGTCAGTATAGCTAAATATATATTCTAGAATATAGGCAGATAGCAGACAAACACAAGGGGCCTAGAGTGCCAAGACCTACATACTGTATGATCTACAAACACCTTATAAAGGTAAAAACTAATGAAGCCACTCGTGATAAATGAATGCCAGAAAACCAATGGTGGTGATGAGATAAAGGCAAAAGTAAGCCTGGTCAAATTTTCTGCCCACTCTCTCCCAGTGCCCAGGCTTCTTCTTCTTCATGTTAGCAAAGAACCATTTCTGCCGTATGTTCCGCACCTCTAGGATCCGCTGCAGCAGGCGGGGGTTGTTCAGCCAGTCTCCATCAAGGTCCTTCTTGTTTGGAATGTCCTCAACCTTCACCAGGCTGATCTCAGCATCTCTCTGAGACTCTAGGAAGAAAATGGTAGGTTTTGTAGCAAGTATTACAAACATAAGGACAGATCTTGATCATCATGAACAATCCCCTTCCTCCCCTCCTAGAATCAATGTGGCGTTTACCCAAGAATGAACACTCTTATGAGGATGACAAAAGAACAAGAGATTTCACCTCTTTGGCAGTCGGTCTCTTCCTGAGTCTCCTCACAGGTCTTAGAAGAGGTCTGGATGTCCTGATCAGCCCTGCTGTCCATATCAATCAGGAAGCTCACCAGCATGGTCTCCAGGAGGCTGAGGCCCGTGAGGGCAAAGATTACGATGCAGTAAAGAGCTGGAGATGGAGCACAAATTATGTGAAGAAGAGATGAAGACTTCACATTGTACATTTTCTATCCTTAATAACAAAAGTGCAGGTTTACTGTGGGCTTGTGTTAAATGAAACTGTGCACAGCGGGCTTATGTTAACATGAACTGATTGAGATGTGTTCCTAAAATCAAGTAATTGCTAGCTGTTTTTTCCCCCAACAAAATGTAAACTGTGGCCCCAGATGACCAGACTTGACCATTTATGGTATAAAATAACAAAGTGCTAACAGCTTAGCCATAATCAAAAAGTTAATTAGAAAACATTAGCCATGCAAAACAGTTTCAGCTTAGCTAGCATCTATGTGTCACTGTCCACTGTTGTAGAGAGGTAGATGGATTGAGATTTGACATGATATGATTGGCAGTTCATATTATTACCTATGAGTGGCAGGTCATCTGCTGTGGAAGGCAGGATGTCATTGAGAATCAGCAGTAAGACAGAAATGGACAAGAGTATGGTCACTTTGTAGCCCAGCTTTTCTCCCTTGGCCTCATCAATGAAAAAGGAGGCCAAGTCCAGGATGAGGAAAAATAAGAGTGGTAGTAGTAGGTTGATCACATATAATAGGGGTCTTCTTCGTATGCTGATCTGTGAGGAAAGTAGAAACTTACTGGACTTAACATTGTTTTGAGAATTATCAAATATCATGAGAGAACACATTCCTGTTCAAGTTCTTGCTCTCTCTGATTTGCATACCTTGTAGACCAGCTTGTCCCAAACAATGTTGTTGTCGTAGATTAGCTTTTCCATGGACAACCTAATGCCCAGGAAGTCCCATTCCCCCAATGTAACCATGACCTTTTCGGAAAATTGGCTCATGATAATGCTGTTGGAGAAGGGCCCCAACTTTATTCCTATTAGTGAAAAGATTAAAGAAAATCTATCATACCTCCAGTGTGTGTGTGTGTGTGTGTGTGTGTGTGTGTGTGTGTGTGTGTGTGTGTGTGTGTGTGTGTGTGTGTGTGTGTGTGTGTGTGTGTGTGTGTGTGTTTGTGTGTGTTTGTGTGTGTTTGTGTGTGTACCTTTGAGCATAAAGGAAATAAAAGTAATGCTGCAGTTCTGGGTGTCAAAGGGGAACTTAAAAAGATTCATCTTGCAGGTGGTGGTCAACCGGCGGCTTTCTGTCACGTAGGCCATGCCAGAGTGGGCCACCTCGGTGTAGGGGCTCAATGTGATGCTGCCTGTATCAGAAATGCTGAGGGTGCAGACAACAGTGTATCAGTATTCAACTACAGTTAGAGTTTACTTTTTTTATAGAGACATACTGTAATTAAATAAAGATTTCATGGCTAATGTTACATCATGGAGCAACTGATTTAGTTTAACCTCACTTGGCATTAGATATCAGACTGAAGGTCAGGTTCATTGTGTTTTTCATTAAAAGCAAACAAGGCATCGCTCTCCCTAGATGAGTAAACTCAACTCTGTCCATATGCAGTATACATCTCTATGGAGTCGAGTTGCGATGATTGTCGGCGGAGTGTACCACCGGCTACATTGGGTTGCTATCAGTCGATACTGTGTTCCTTTCTTTGTTTGCTGAAATCCATACTTTTTAATAAAACTCATCAAATACAATAATCTTTCCCGTTTCTGTTGATCTAAGATGGCAACTCAGTGCAAATCCGCATGTGCCAATTGAATCTCAGCCTACGATTAAAGTTTTATGAAAAATTATGGATTTCAGTAAACAAAGAAAGGACCACAGTAACACAGGACAAACATAGGTACACAGTAAGGGTTTAACAAATGAACTTTTTACAAGTATTGTCTGATGGGGACACCACCAAATCACAACTCAACTCCATAGATATGTATATATGGACTGAAATTACTTTACTCAGCTACGCTCTCCCAGACAATGAGACATATTTGCTGTTTTTAAGAGGCTTATGAAGAGAACACGTTCCAACAGGAAACAGAGCAGTTCTAATTACTACGAGTGAAAACAGCCTTTTCATAAAAGTGCCTGTAATCTACGGTATATGTTGTCCCTGAAACAGTGCACTAAACACACACAGAGAAATGGGGTTCTCACACCCAATGCTAATGCCCATTGTTCAGGATGTTTTGGATGTGTTATTGAACCTCTTGTCAATCATGCACCATTATAGACATTCACATTCACTAGAGTACGCTGCATTAGATTACTTTTTATATCATGCCATTGTAATCATGTGCAAATGATATCAATCATTTCAACATCCCTATGATGAATGGTACTCACTCCTCTAAGATCATTACATCTGGTATCCACAGCATGTCTCTGGGAACTGCTACACTCTCAATCCCACACCAGTCATTGGGTTCCCACGATATCAGTTCATTCTCCCAGCCCTGTAAAAAGACATGGGAGTGAAGAGGCTCATGGGTGAATAAAACCACAATCCTTACAGACCAAGTTAAAACTAAGCCTATGTGTTTTCATTAAAACATGATATAACACTGCAGTGTATGGATGGTGTTATTGGTCAAGAGTGTAATTGAGTCATAAAGAAGCAATGACATTCATATTGATGATGAATGGTTCCTATGAGTCTGATTAGGCAGGTTGATGAGTATTCAATATCAAATATGAGGAGAGCAAGAGGTGGAAATAAGAAGACATTCACAGCCTTTTAGAGATGGATTGACGTTATATAAACTCAGCAAAAAAAGAAACGTCCTCACTGTCAACTGCGTTTATTTTCAGCAAACTTAACATGTGTAAATATTTGTATAAACATAACAAGATTCAACAACTGAGACATAAACTGAACAAGTTCCACAGACATGTGACTAACAGAAATTGAATAATGTGTCCCTGAACAAAGGGGGGGGGGGGGGGGGGGGGGGGGGGTCAAAAGTAACAGTATCTGGTGTGGCCACCAGCTGCATTAAGTACTGCAGTGCATCTCCTCCTCATGGACTGCACCAGATTTGTCAGTTCTTGCTGTGAGATGTTACCCCACTCTTCCACCAAGGCACCTGCAAGTTCCCGGACATTTCTGGGGGGAATGGCCCTAGCCCTCACCCTCCGATCCAACAGGTCCCAGACGTGCTCAATGGGATTGAGATCCGGGCTCTTTGCTGGCCATGGCAGAACACTGACATTCCTGTCTTGCAGGAAATCACGCACAGAATGAGCAGTATGGCTGGTGGCATTGTCATGCTGGAGGGTTATGTCAGGATGAGCCTGCAGGAAGGGTACCACATGAGGGAGGAGGATGTCTTCCCTGTAACGTACAGTGTTGAGATTGCCTGCAATGACAACAAGCTCAGTCCGATGATGCTGTGACACACCGTCCCAGACCATGATGGACCCTCCACCTCCAAATCGATCCCGCTCCAGAGTACAGGCCTCGGTGTAACGCTCATTCCTTCAACGATACATGCGAATCCGACCATCACCCCTGGTGAGACAAACTGCAACTCGTCAGTGAAGAGCATTTTTTGCCAGTCCTGTCTGGTCCAGCGACGGTGGGTTTGTGATGTCTGGTGAGGACCTGCCTTGCGACAGGCCTACAAGCCCTCAGTCCAGCCTCTCTCAGTCTATTGCGGACAGTCTGAGCACTGATGGAGGGATTGTGCGTTCCTGGTGTAACTCGGGCAGTTGTTGTTGCCATCCTGTACCTGTCCCGCAGGTGTGATGTTCGGATGTACCGATCCTGTGCAGGTGTTGTTACACGTGGTCTGCCACTGCGAGGACGATCAGCTGTCCGTCCTGTCTCCCTGTAACGCTGTCTTAGGCGTCTCACAGTACGGACATTGCAATTTATTGCCCTGGCCACATCTGAAGTCCTCATGCCTCCTTGCAGCATGCCTAAGGCATGTTCACGCAGATGAGCAGGGACCGTGGGCATCTTTCTTTTGGTGTTTTTCAGAGTCAGTAGAAAGGCCTCTTTAGTGTCCTACATTTTCATAACTTAATTGCCTACCATCTGTAAACTGTTAGTGTCTTAATGACCGTTCCACAGGTGCATGTTCATTAATTGTTTATGGTTCATTGAACAAGCATGGGAAACAGTGTTTAAACCCTTTACAATGATGATCTGTGAAGTTATTTGGATTTGTACAAATTATCTTTGAAAGACAGGGTCCTGAAAAAGGGATGTTTCTTTTTTTTGCTGAGTTTAAACATAATCTCTACCTATTGGGCAATTCCTATGGTAAAGGAATTACACGGAGACTCTTTTTTTTTTCACTTTAAAATGTATGCCAAAAAAAACAACAATGATTGCAAAGTTAAACAAACCATACAACTCTATGCACAAGGACTACTTTGAACAATTCCCCCTCCTAAAAAATTAATAATTGAATGTGTCAGCCAGACTGCCACTCACAAAGTAGACTACCGATCGCTGTCCATGGTGCTGAAGTTGCAACATGTCTTTGTGGCTGCATGCCTATCGAATCGATGATAGGCTTTCTATGGTGCCAGGGCATAGCTTTGCTTTAGCTAATGGATTAATGTTTATTGGTAGGTCTATTTGGTCATAATTTTCTCAGGTTAAGCCTCCTAACATTTCACGAAGCTATACACGATGTCGCAATGCTGCATTTTTAGACCGCTGGCTGATGGCAATAATATAATTACTTTTTCAGTAATTCAAGTTAGAAATTCAAACATCGCAGATTGTCAAATTCATTTTCGATACAAAAGAATAACAATCAGCTACCAATTTATTTATTTATTTTGTTATAGTACAGCTGTCCTGTACAGGCTAACTGAACCTACATGACATGAGCCGTCCTTGCGCTCTCCAAGCTTGGATAAAAACTTGTTTGTAAAACCAGTCTATTAATGCCAAATAATACAGTCAGTCCACCCTCAAAACACTAGCTTACTAGAGATTGTTTCATTATGCAGTGTACTATCTATAGCTACAGTATATACCATCATTAGCTGCGACTTAGGTGCTATTTATAAACTTTTTATAAAAATGAATAATCAAATAGCCTAAAGACTTGGTAAAAAGTAGTCGGCTTGAGGATAAATTCAGACACTATTTATTGTTGAACTTAGCAGGTTTTGTCAAATGGGCGGCAATAATCAAGGTCAATTAAATTCGGCCTAAATCTAATTAAATCCAATTTTAGAGACGCCCCTGGTCTCCTGAAGTCCTCCTTTTGTGTGTGAAAATGTGTGTCCATGGCCTGTAGGTCCAGGTTGCTGACCAGATGGTTTTCCATTCTCTGTATTGCCAACCCATACAGTCTTTCTTGAGACATGCCCATTGTGCTGCAAACAATGTAAACATAGTCTTGAATGATGCATGCCAAGAGATAAGAGACTGTTAATATTGCAACCACACAACTCAAACACCCGTAAAAAAAAAAAAAAACGTACCCTTGACCATGGCATTTGTTCACAGATATCCCCCTTATACTTTCAATCAGTTTGATATTTTCTTTTTCAAGACCTGGGGCACCCAGGTGTCCACTACATTGCAATCATGAATTTTTGTTTGGCATACATTTTAAAGTGAAATATCAGAGTCTCAGCTAAATTCTGCCCTACCTGCCCCAATCACATCTAAATGATAACTATGATAACTAACTATGATTAACTGTACTTACCATTGAGATCATCACATGGGAGGTGAAGGTTTGGGACTTCTCATTCTGCAAACAATCAGAAATGAATGGATGTCACAGAGACAACACTTTAGTGTGTGGCAGTGCATGCAGTACATATTGTGCATTTACTTACACAGAGATCATTCAGTGCACTGTGTTACAAAATGCTGAAATCAGTTTAGTACTAGTCACTTTAACATACAGGACATACAGTTAAATGTAACTAAATGTAATCCCCAAAAGTAATTATTTATCATGAGAGGGCCATAAACAATAACTAGTAATGCTGCTTACTCCAAGAAAGGTTATAATCTCACCTTTCTGGTATTTAAAAAAAATAAATTGTCACTTTTGAGGACACAAGCTCAAGCACACACTACAAATATGATAAAAATATGAAATATTTTATATGATGTATTTCCTATTCAACAAAACTGTATGAATAAGGCTCGAAATGATATATGCTTTCTAAATATAGTGTAATCAAATTATAAAACGATTGCACCTTCCTTATAACTGTAAAATACGTATTTGTGCACATTTTCTAAAGGCACATCTCTTGATCAAAACGTGTGGCCCCATAGCTGTGAATGTCTCACAGAGCTCTAGCTTGGCTTCCTGAACTTGTTAGGAACTTGCCTTTCATCTCATCTACAGTACCAGTCAAAAGTTTGGACACACCTACTCATTCAAGGGTTTGTCTTTATTTTTTTAAAAACTATTTTCTACATTGTAGAATAATAGTGAAGACATCAAAACTATAAAATAGCACATATGGAATCATGTAGTAGCCAAAAATTTGTTAAACAAATCAAAATATATTTTATATTTGAGATTCTTCAAATAGCCACCCTTTGCCTTGATGACAGCTTTGCACACTCTTGGTGTTCTCTCAACCAGCTTCACCTGGAATGCTTTCCAACAGTCTTGAAGGAGTTCCCACATATGCTTAGCACTTGTTGGCTGCTTTTCCTTCACTCTGCCGTCCGACTCATCCCAAACCATCTCAATTGGGTTGAGGTCGGGGGATTGTGGAGGCCAGGTCATCTGATGCAGCACTCCATCACTCTCCTTCTTGGTAAAATATCCCTTACACAGCCTGGAGGTGTGTTGGGTCATTGTCCCGTTGAAAAACAAATGATAGTCCCACTAAGCCCAAACCAGATGGGATACCGTATCGCTGCAGAATGCTGTGTTAGCCATGCTGGTTAAGTGTGCCTTGAATTCTAAATAAATCACAGACAGTGTCACCAGCAAAGCATCCCCACACCATAACACCTCCTCCTCCATGCTTTACGGTGAGAACTACACATGCGGAGATAATCCGTTCATCCACACCACGTCTCACAAAGACACAGTGGTTGGAACCAAAAATCTCAAATTTAGACTCTAGATCAAAGGACAAATTTCCACCGGTCTAATGTCCATTGCTCGTGTTTCTTGGCCCAAGCAGGTCTCTTCTCATTATTGGTGTCCTTTAGTAGTGATTTCTTTGCAGCAATTCGACCATCAAGGCCTGATTCACACAGTCCCCTCTGAACAGTTGATGTTGAGATGTGTCTGTTACTTGATCTCTTTGAAGCATTTATTTGGGCTGCAATTTCTGAGGCTGGTAACTCTACTGAACTTATTCTCTGCAGCAGAGGTAACTCTGGGTCTTCCATTCCTGTGGTGGTCCTCATGAGAGCCAGCTTCATCATAGTGCTTGCTGGTTTTTGCGACTGCACTTGAAGAAACTTTCAAAGTTCTTGAAATGTTCCGTATTGACTGACCTTCATGTCTTAAAGTAATGATGGACTGTCGTTTCTCTTTGCTTATTTGTGCTGTTCTTGCCATAATATGGACCTGGTCTTTTACCAAATAGGGCTATCTCCTGTATACCTTGTCACAACACAACTGATTGGCTCAAACGCATTAAGAAGGAAATCAATTCCACAAATTAACTTTTAAGAAAGCACACCTGTTAATTACATTTACATTTACATTTTAGTCATTTAGCAGACGCTCTTATCCAGAGCGACTTACAGTTAGTGAGTGCATACATAATTTTTTTGTTCATACTTTTCTTCATACTTTAAATGCATTCCAGGTGGCTACCTCATGAAGCTGGTTGAGAGAATGCCACGAGTATGCAAAGCTGTCATCAAGGCAAAGGGTAGCTATTGGAAGAATCTCAAATATAAAATATATTTTAATTTGTTTAACACTTTTTTGGTTACTACATGTTTCATATGTGTTATTTCATAGTTTTGATGTCTTCACTATTATTCTACAATGTAAAAAATAGTAAAAAATAAAGAAAAACCCTTGAATGAGTAGGTGTGTCCAAACTTTTGACTGGTAGTGTATATCTTGTCCATCTATGACAAACAAAGTGTTTTTTGTTTAAAATATATGAATTGTTTAAAATTAATGGCTATAAATTGATCTCCGAATGTGCTACAGTGATGAAACCATTCTTTTCTGCTGCGCTACGATGTAAGGATTGCAGGCATGTGCTTTGTCAGTGGCTGTGACACAAGGTTCAGCTAGGAGTTGATGGATAGTCGGAAGAGCGAAATGAAATGGTAGGAGGGACATCCCAGCTTCAAGTGGTTTCAGATTTCACATCCTTAAACATATATACGACTGTGTCCTTGGGATCCAGAGCTACCTCTCAATGCAAGCCATTTCGTTCTACGTTGTCCACAGTTCGATTTATAAGCAAAAATGTCGGTCGGAACTGGTACCAGAACCACGCAGGTCCCCTAAACAGGGGACTTTAGATCTTTATTAACATACAGGACAAAGGATATATTAATGTATCAGTCAGTGGTCAATCCACAAGGAATATGAAACAGACAGGATTGAAAGTTAGATCTGAATATGTAAGCTACAGGGAGCTAAAAACACTTACCACATCCAAAATACCATATAGATATGTGTCCACCATAACCGGTGTAGGTGTTGTCCAGTTCCACACCGGCCGCACATTTGATAAACTCTCACTTTTCTGTGACAGACCCAGATGATCTAGAAGACGATGATAGGAACAGTTGTTCGTACTTGAGACGCCACCTGCTAAGGAGATGAGAGGTCCAATATTAGACATTAAGCTGATACCATAATAACGGCAAACAGGACAGGTTAACTTTATATCATCAATCAAGTGTAGACTGTGCAACTCACGACTGTGTTAGCCCACTGAGCTAAAAACTCAAGGCAAGGCATTAGCTCTGGGAGCTAACATATGTTTACAGGTCTCAAGCGAGGTTACTCATCATGCGAAAATAGCTAATTGAACCACCTTGAGAACTCACCCATCAGAGCCAGTGAATTCAGAAGCCACAGAGCGATCATCATTCCTGTGCGTGCAGGCTCACAGAGTGGTGTCCAAGTGGCAGGGCTGCGTTTTATTTGTGTGTGAGTGTATTGCTTGTGCGCATGACCCAATCAATACAATAATTTTTCATTACTCTTCTCAGGGGAACAGGGTAATAAAAAAACATCCATTCTGGTTCAAAATTGTAGTCTCACCTATTGCCTAGGGGTAAAGCTCCGGTATTGCACGACACAGATTGGATTCAGTGGACTGATAGTGAGGGTCTGCTCCTAACCTAGAGCTGAGATGAGCAGCTTGTGGTCAGTAACGTCATCTCACCTCACGTTTAGCACCACTGAGTTTGTGGTTTGATATAAGAGAGAAGAATATGTGCTTAAGAAAATTGTAGTACAGGGAGGTTTACTAACCCATAGATTGCAGACAAAATGTCATAAATGTATAATAAAGGTTGTTTTCTTTATATCACAGGCAAAAGTGTATGTTAAGCACTACTTGGGTCAAATCGTCTGCCCACTCTCTCTCAGTACCCAGGCCAATTTCAAACCTTCTGTACTTAAGCAAAATTCTGGAGAAATTGGTTTTCAAACATCAAAATTATTTTTTCAGTTCCAACTGTATTTTTGAAAATTCCTATCTGGTTTTTTCGTGCCTGCCACAACACAGAGACAGCCTTAGTTAAAGTGGTAAATGATCTTAGAGCCAACACAGATGCTAATCAGCTCTCTGTCATTGTACTCTTGGATTTAAGTGCTGCATTCAACACGGTTGACCATGATGTCCTTCTGGACAGACTGGAGAGGTGTGTTGGCCTCTCCGGTCCAGTTCTAAATTGGTTTAGGACCTATTTAACCGGTCAATAGTTTTTTGTCACCGTTGGTGAACATAACTCAGAGAACATAGATATCACATGTGGCTTTCCACAAGGTTCGATTTTGGGTCCGGTACTGTTCAGTTTATATACTCGATGTTACCCCTTGGCAGCGTTAGCAGAAAGCACGGCATTGATTTTCACTGATACGCAAACGATACGCAACTTTACATTTCTGTGTCACCAGAGTATTTTAGCTCCACGTATAAATTATTAGACTGTATTAGTTAGTGATTTAAATACTTGGATGGCTCACAACTTCCTCCAGCTAAATCAAGACAAGACGAGGTACGTATCATTGGAGCCAAAGCACAGAGAGAGAATCTGGCCGCACATTTTAATTCACAGGCAATAAAGATAAAACACCAGGCAAAATAGCTTTTTACCACCTGAGGAACATTGCCAAGGTGCGGCCGTTTCTATCTCAGGCTGACACAGAGAGACTCCTCCATGCTTTTACTACAAGCAGGCTTGACTAATGTAATGCTCTCCTGTCTGGTCTACACAAACATACAGAATTCTGCAGCACAGGTACAGACCAAGACCAGAAGGAGAGCACACATTACACCGGTTTTAAAGTCTCTGCACTGGCTGCCTGTGAGTTTTAGGATTAATTGTAAGATTATTCTATTGGTTTTTTAAATCAATCAACGATTGTGCACCCCAATACATAAGACATGCGTTTGAGTTACAGTACCAGTCGAAAGTTTGGAGACACCTACTCATTCAAGGGTTTTTCTTTATTTTCACTATTTTCTACATTGTAGAATAATAGTGAAGACATCAAAACTATGAAATAACACACATGGAATCATGTAGTAACCAAAAAAATGTTAAACAAATCAAAATATATTTTCTATTTGAGATTCTTCAAATAGCCACCCTTTGCCTTTATGACAGCTTTGCACATTCTTGGCATTCTCTCAACCAGCTTCACCTGGAATGTTTTTCCAACAGTCTTGAAGGAGTTACCACATATGCTGAGCACTTTTTGGCTGCTTTTTCTTCACTCCGCCGTCCGACTCATCCCAAACCATCACAATTGTGTTGAGGTCGGTGGATTGTGGAGACCAGGTCATCTGATGCAGCACTCCATCACTCTCCTTCTTGGTCAAATAGCCCTTAAACAGCCTGGAGGTGTGTTGAGTCATTGTCCTGTTGAAAATCAACATATCGACTGTTGTACTCGGGCTAATAAAATTCTCAACCACTGCTATTCGAACTTCCGGGATGGTTATAAGGTCCTCCCCCGCCCTCCTTTTGGCAAATCTGACCACGACTCCATTTTGCTCCTCCCTTCATACAAGCAGAAACTCAAACAGGAAGTACCCGTGCTAAGGACTATTCAACGCTGGTCTGACCAATCGGAATCCACGCTTCAAGATTGTTTTGATCACGTGGACTGCGATATGTTCCGGGTAGCTTGCGAAAATAATTTTAACGAATACATTGAAACGGTGACTGAGTTTATCAGGAAGTGTATAGGAGATGTTGTGCCCACTGTGATTATTAAAACCTACCCTAACCAGAAACCGTGGATAGATGGCAGCATTCGCAAAAAACTGAAAGCGCGAACCACCGCATTTAACTATGGCAAGGTGACTGGGAATATGGCAGAATACAAACAGTGTAGCTACCCACTCCGCAAGGCAATTAAAAAGGCAAAACATCAGTATAGAGACAAAGTGGAGTCGCAATTCAACGGCTCAGACACGAGACGTATGTGGCAGCATCTACAGACAATCACGGACTACAAAAGGAAAACCAGCCACGTTGCCGACACTGACGTCTTGCTTCCGGACAAGCTAAACACCTTCTTCACCCGCTTTGAGGATAACACAGTGCCACCGATGCGGCCCACTACCAAGGACTGTGGGCTCTCCTTCTCTGTGCCTGATGTGAGTAAGACATTTAAGCATGTTAACCCCCGCAAGGCTGCCGGCCCAGACGGCATCCCTAGCTGCGTCCTCAGAGCATGCACAGACCAGCTGGCTGGTGTGTTTACAGACATATTCAATCTCTCCCTATCCCAGTCTGCTGTCCCACTTGCTTCAAGATGGCCACCATTGTTCCTGTACCCAAGAAAGCAAAGGTAACTGAACTAAATGACTATCGCCCAGTAGCACTCACTTCTGTCATCATGAAGTGCTTTGAGAGACTTACCTGTCACCCTAGACCCACTTCAATTTGCTTACCGCCCCAATAGATCCACAGACGATGCAATTGCTATCACACTGCACACTGCCCTATCCCATCTGGACAAGAGGAATACCTATGTAAGAATGCTGTTTATTGACTATAGCTCAGCATTCAACCCCATAGTACCCTCCAAGCTCATCATTAAGCTTGAGGCCCTGGGTCTGAACCCCGCCCTGTGCAACTGGGTCCTGGACTTCCTGACGGTCCGCCCCCAGGTGGTGAAGGTAGGAAACTACACCTGACAAACTAAAATGATCCACCCACGCAGACAATGTGGTGAAGAAGGCGCAACAGAGCGTCTTCAACCTCAGGAGGCTAAAGAAATTTGTCTCGGCACCTAAAACCCTCAAACGTTTGCAGATGCACAATTGAGAGCATCCTGTCGGGTTGTATCACCGCCTGGTACGGCAACTGCACCGCCCGCAACCGCAGGGCTCTCCAGAGGGTGGTGCGGTCTGCCCAACGCATTACCGGGGGCAAACTACCTGCCCCTCCAGGATACCTACAGTGCCCGATGTCACAGGAAGGCCAAACAGATCATCAAGGACATCAACCACCCGAGCCACTGCCTGTTCACCCCGCTATCATCCAGAAGGCGAGGTCAGTACAGGTGCATCAAAGCTGGGACAGATAGACTGAAAAACAGCTTATATCTCAAGGCCATCAGACTGTTAAAAAGCTATCACAAGCACATTAGAGGCTGCTGCTGCCTATAGAAATCACTGGCCACTTTAAGAAATGGAACACTAGTCACTTTAATGTTTACATACAGTGGGGAGAACAAGTATTTGATACACTGACGATTTTGCAGGTTTTCCTACTTACAAAGCATGTAGAGGTCTGTAATTTTTTATCATTGGTACACTTCAACTGTGAGAGACGGAATCTAAAACAAAAATCCTGAAAATCACATTGTATGATTTTTAAGTAATTAATTTGCATTTTATTGCATTACTTAAAATTACTGAAAAATCATACAATGTGATTTTCTGGAGTTTTAGATTCCGTCTCTCACAGTTCAAGTGTACATATGATACAAATTAGTGACCTCTACATGCTTTGTAAGTAAGAAAACCTGCAAAATCGGCAGTGTATCAAATACTTGTTCTCCCCACTGTATCTTGCACTACTCATCTCATATGTATATACTGTATTCTATAATATTCTACTATATCTTAGTCCATGCCGCTCTGTCATTGCTCGTCCATATACAGTACCAGTCAAAAGTTTGGACACACCTACTAATTAAAGGGTTTTTCTTTATTTTTTACTATTTTCTACATTGTATAATAATAGTGAAGACATCAAAACTATTAAATAACACATATGGAATGATGTAGTAACCAAAAAAGTGTTAAACGTATCAAAATATATTTTATATTTGAGATTCTTCGAATAGCCACCCTTTGCCTTGATGACAGCTTTGCACACTCTTGGCATTGCCTCAACCAGCTTCACCTGGAATGCTTTTTCAACAGTCTTGAAGGAGTTCCCACATATGCTGAGCACTTGTTGGCTGCTTTTCCTTCACTCTGCGGTCTGACTCATCCCAAACCATCCCAATTGGGTTGAGGTCGGGGGATTGTGGAGGCCAGGTCATCTGATGCAGCACTCCATTACTCTCCTTCTTAGTAAAATAGCCCTTACACAGTTTGGAGGTATGTTGGGTCATTGTCCTGTTGAAAAACAAATGATAGTCCCACTAAGCCCAAACCAGATGGGATGGCATATCACTGCAGAATGCTGTGGTAGCCATGCTGGTTAAGTGTACCTTGAATTCTAAATAAATCACAGACAGTGTCACCAGCAAAGCACCCCCACACCATAACACCTCCTCCTCCATGCTTTACAGTGGGAACTACACATGCAGAGATCATCCGTTCACCTACACCATGTCTCACAAAGGCACAGCGGTTGGAACCAAAAATCTCCAATTTGGACTCTAGACCAAAGGACACATTTCCACCGATCTAATGTCAATTGCTTGTGTTTCTTGGCCCAAGCAGGTCTCTTCTTCTTATTGGTGTCCTTTAGTAGTGGTTTCTTTGAGCCATTCAACCATGGAGCCAGATTCACACAGTCCCCTTTGAACAGTTGATGTTGAGATATGTATGTTACTTGAACTCTGTGAAGCATTTATTTAGGCTGCAATTTCTGAGGCTGGTAACTCTACTGAACTTATCCTCTGCAGCAGAAGTAACTCTGGGTCTTCCATTCCTGTGGCGATCCTCATGAGAGCCAGTTTCATCACAGCTCTTGATGGTTTTCAAAGTTCTTGAAATGTTCCATGTTGACTGACCTTCATGTGTTCAAGTAATGATGGACTGTGATTTCTCTTTGCTTATTTGAGCTGTTCTTGTCATAATATGGACTTGGCCTTTTAGTTTTGATGTCTTCACTATTATTCTACAATGTAAAAAATAGTAAAAATAAAGAAAACCCCTTGAATGAGTAGGTGTCCAAACTTTTGACTGGTAGTGTATGTACCCAGTAGGTCCCTCAGGTCCTCTGGCACTGGCCTTTTAACTATCCCAAAGCCTAGGACCAAGAGGCATGGGGAGGCAGCCTTTAGTTACCATGCCCACAGCCTCTGGAATAGCCTGCCAGAGAACCTGAGGGGGGCTGAAAATGGAGGACATTTTTAACAGAGATCTTAAAACACACCTTTCTTTCCCCTTAGGGTGCCTTTTCAGTCTTTACCTTTTTATTGTTATTCTTTAGTTTTTTTTATCCACTCATGTTTCTGTTTATTTACATTCATTTATATTTGTTTTTCCCTGTGAAGCACATTGCGTTACATTCATGTCTGAAATGTTCTATATAAATACAGCTTGATTTGATTTGATCTCACGTTAGCAAAGAACCATTTCTGCCGTACGTTACACACATCCAGGATCCGCTGCCGCAGGCGGGGTTGTTCAGCCAGTCTCCATCAAGGTCCTTCTTGTTTGGAATGTCCTCAACCTTCACCAGGCTGATCTCAGCATCTCTCTCAAGTGCTAGAAAGAAAATGGGAGGTTTTGTAGAAAGTGTTGCAAACATAAAGAAAGATCTCATTTTTTTGTGATGACAGGACAAAAAAAAACCTACAGACATTACACAAATACACATTTATCCCCCCACAGGACCTGCTTACTTAAGTAAATATTAAAGTAATGATTTTATACTGCCAAGTGTTGCTGTCCATATATGGGTCTTTCTATAAATAATGGAGACAATGTGTGACATTGGGATCAAATTTTCAAAATGGTTTGAAACAAAAAGGATTCACATGCAGTTCCACATGTGTACTTAGTGGAATAAAAGTGAATATTTGCAAATTGGTCCATAACTTATACAACAAAATAGGCCTAGGACTATACTTCTTTAATTAAGCAGGGCTCATACAGATATTGGCAAGTCAAATTCAAGAACTTTTGGGGACTTTTACATGCATTTAGGAATATATATTTTTTTTGGCCTTGCCAATGCATTAATATTCAACTTATTATTACATTCTAAAATATGTGAAATGTATGTGGACATAGCCTGACTGAATAGATTGGATGCATACATTGCGATTTTTCTGTATCCTATGTTGCCGACCCAGCCAAACATAATTCAGCCATGAATAGCGGTGGCTTTAATCTCACCATTTAAATCTCATAATCGATGTCATTATAATGAGAAAGTGACCAAAATAAGTTCGTTTTTAAAATTTGTAATGGCCTAGTAGGCTACTTGAATTTCTGAGCTCCAAATTCAAGTTGGCTACTTTAAGCCCATTGTATTGTTTAAAATTGCAGGTGTAACGTGGAAAACAAAATGTATTTGTCATGTTATTTCATTACCAGATTATATTGTGAATAAGCCCACCAGGCTATGTAATTTGTTGTCATTATATCCAGAATAATTAATAGGAATAGCGTGGTGTTGCGCGATATCCAGGCTCTGTCGTAGCTGGCCATGACCGGGAGACCCATGGGGCGGCGCACAATTGGCCCAGCGTCGTCCAGGGTAGGGGAGGGAATGGCCGGCAGGGATGTAGGGCATGGCGTTTGCAACGCCAGGGTTGTGGGTTCGACTCCCCAGTATGAAGAAAAAAAAAAAAAGTGTAATGTAAGTCGCTCTGGATAAGAGCGTCTGCTAAATGACTAAAATGTAAAATGTAAAATGATTAGTCTATCCTACACAATTGCTCACAGTAGACTGGGGTGTCCAATCCTAGGCAAAAACATATTAAAACATGAACTCATTACCTTGATGCGTTCTCTGTTAAATCTAACGATTAGAACGGTTAGAAGCATTCGATTTAGCAATCGCATACATTATTTTGGATTTGTGTGCCAATGAAAACGGGTTTCATGCTGTAACATAAGGATACACGAAATGTTACACTGCATTTTTGAGATCTCTATACAAAAAAAATAACTGTAGGACAGCTACATCCAGGATTCTTACAGGGTTCAAGTCCAATGTCTAATGTAACTGATTAATGCTTAATATGATACGACAACTTACACTACCATAAATGCAAGGACAGAAAAATAATGTTTTATGTCACACAATTTTTGGTAAATCGGTCAAGACACCAACCATGATAAAGGGTTAAACATAGGTCTTAAATCAACTCATTCATTTTTATTGAATATAGCTATGATCCCCCTTGTACCTTACCTTAATGACAAAAAAAAAGGCAGATTATTATCAATGACTTATCAACAGCTGTAACAAGTTATCTAGTATAGAAAATCCTCACTGGTATCCAAGTTTATAGAAATACCCATATGTTAATATTCTAGGGTTTTGCACCATGCAGTCTAGAGATTGACAGTTAAAGTTGGGCAATGATGATCCTCTGAAAAATGATCCTCTGCCTGTATGTTAAATTCAGCGAAGTCATAATTAAGCAGCAGCACATTGTGTAGACATGGGATGGATTTAGGCAAAATGCCTGATAATGATGAAGCCACAGATTGCCTAAAGGAGAAAACCTCTGGGCAATCTTAGACCATATGAATAAATGTGCCAGGAGTACCCTGGGGGCAGAGCATACAGACAGAGGTTGAGTTTATGTTCATCTGGAAACGTTTTTTTGGAATCGGATAACTCATACTGGCAAAATTGTAGTGGGTCATTTGGTAATTAGGTTTCTTGATGAGAATGTAATATTGGACCAGACAGTACTCCAGTTAATATCTACTGCTGGTATATCTATGTTCCATTTTGAATAGACTGGTAATATGTTGGTTTGAGTAGGAATATTTATAATTTGGAGACTATGCCCTTACTTACCCTTGAGGTCATTATTTTGTGGATAGGATGAGATGATCAGAACCCCAGGGTACTCCATAAGCACCTAGAGCAGAACGAAGCTGCAAATAAAAGAAAAATGAAGAACCAGGCAGATCGTATTTGCTTTTTCAAGTCAGGGAATGCACGTAGACTGTCCACAATGTCAGAGAGAGTATGAATTCCCCTCTCACTCCAAACTGGAAAAGATATTGGTTGGCCAACCAAGAGGAGATTGTAATTATTAATAATATATTTACAACGGTTCCCCATTGAACTCCATATTGTAAATATTTACATGATGATAGGGCCAAAGGTGAGTTTGGCTTTTTTGATAGAGATGTTGGAATATACCAGATCTTGGAGCCTGTACAGCTTTGCTAAATTCTCCTAGAGGGGGCTCCAGGTCACTGAGACATTGGGGTTCAACCACACACGTAGTGGGCGCAGAATAAAGGCCCAGAAATATAATTTCAGATTGGGGAGATTTAGGCCTCCAGAACACTTCTGTCTTTGTAAAGTGGACATTTTCCCCTCTATATACATTTGGAAATCAAAGTGTGAAGTTTCTTCCAATATCCCAGCGGCGGTGAAAGGGGAATCATAGAGCTGTAAAAGTTTATCTGAGGAAGTATATCCATCTTAATAGAATTTGTGCTATGAGACCATCTTTGTAGGTCTGATTGTTGTTTGTAAACACTATTAAAATTGGTAGTGGTGATGATCTGTAAGGACGGATGGATGTCAATACCTAGGTATTTGAAATGGCTTACTATTGGAATGTCAGGGGACAGGGAGGTATTTCTCATATCGGAAATAGTGCGGATTTGGCCCAATTAATTTTGTAACCTGAGATTGAACTGAAGTTTTTAAAGATATTGAGAATGACAGGTAGAGAACGAGGAGAATCTCCAACATATAATAAAATATAATTAGCATAAAGGGATACAGTGCCTTGCAAAAGTATTCATCCCCCTTGGCGTTTTTCCTATTTTGTTGCATTATAACCTGTAATTTAAATGGATTTTTATTTGGATTTCATGTAATGGACATACACAAAATAGTCCAAATTGGTGAAGTGAAATGAAAAAAAATGACTTGTTACAAGAAATTCAAAAAAGTAAATAACGGAAAAGTGGTGCGTGCCTATGTATTCACCCCCATTGCTATGAAGCCCCTAAATAAGATCTGGTGCAACCAATTACCTTCAGAAGTCACATAATTAGTTAAATAAATTCCACCTGTGTGCAATCTAAGTGTCACATGATCTGTCACATGATCTCAGTATATATACACCTGTTCTGAAAGGCCCCAGAGTCTGCAACACCACTAAGCAAGGGGCACCACCAAGCAAGCGGCACCATGAAGACCAAGGAGCTCTCCAAACAGGTCAGGGACAAAGTTGTGGAGAAGTACAGATTGTTGGGTTGAGTTCTAAAAAAATATCTGAAACTTTGAACTTCCCACGGAGCACCATTAAATCCATAATTAAAAAATTGAAAGAATATGGCACCACAACAAACCTGCCAAGAGAGGGCCGCCCACCAAAACTCACAGACCAGGCAAGGAGGGCGTTAATCAGAGAGGCAACTAAGAGACCAAAGATAACCCTAAAGGATCTGCAAAGCTCCACAGCGGGGAGATTGGAGTATCTGTCCATAGGACCACTTTAAGCTGTACACTCCACAGAGCTGGGCTTTACGGAAGAGTGGCCAGAAAAAAGCCATTGCTTAAAGAAAAAAATAAGGCATGTGGGAGACTCCCCAAACAAATGGAAGAAGGTACTCTGGTCAGATGAGACTAAAATTGAGCTTTTTGGCCATCAAGGAAAACGCTATGTCTGACGCAAACCCAACACCTCTCATCACCCCGAGAACACCATCCCCACAGTGAAGCATGGTGGTGGCAACATCATGCTGTGGGGATGTTTCTCATCGGCAGGGACTGGGAAACTGGTCAGAATTGAAGGAAAGATGGATGGTGCTAAATACAGGGAAATTCTTGAGGGAAACCTGTTTCAGTCTTCCAGAGATTTGAGACTGGGACGGCGGTTCACCTTCCAGCAGGACAATGACCCTAAGCATACTGCTAAAGCAACACTTGAGTGGTTTAAGGTGAAACATTTTAATGTATTGGAATGGCCTAGTCAAAGCCCAGACATCAATCCAATTGAGAATCTGTGGTATGACTTAAAGATTGCTGTACACCAGCGGAACCCATCCAACTTGAAGGAGCTGGAGCAGTTTTACCTTGAAGAATGGGCAAGAATCCCAGTGGCTAGATGTGCCAAGCTTATAGAGACATACCCCAAGAGACTTGCAGCTGTAATTGCTGCAAAAGGTGTCTCTACAAAGTATAGTTATGCACGCTCAAGTTTTCTGTTTTTTTTGTCTTATTTCTTGTTTGTTTCACAATAAAAAATATTTAGCATCTTCAAAGTGGTAGGCATCTTCTGTAAATCAAATGATACAAACCCCCCAAAAAATCAATTTTAATTCCAGGTTTTAAGGCAACAAAATAGGACAAATGCCAGGGGGGGTAAATACTTTCGCAAGCCACTGTATATGGTGGTCAGAGTTGTGAGCAGTGATAGGAACATGTGTGAACTGACAGACTGCCTGGGCCAGGTGTTCCAGTGATAAAGCAAATAATAAGCTGCTGAGAGGACATCCTTACCTTGTCCCTCTGGCAATGGGAAATTGTTTAGAACATACACTGAGTGTACAAAACATTAGGAGCACCTTCCTAATATTGAGTTGTACCTCTTTTTGCCCTCAGAACAGCCTAAATTCGTCAGGGCATGGACTCCACATGCTGGCCCATGTTGACGCCAATGCTTCCCACAGTTGTGTCAAGTTGACTGGATGTCCTTTGGGTGGTGGACCATTCTTGATAGATACACATGGGAAACTGTTGAGCGTGAAAAACCCAGCAGCGTTGCAGTTCTTAACACACTCAAACCGGTGCACCTCGCATCTACTACCATACCCTGTTCAAAGGCACAAAGCTTTTGTCTTGCCCATTCACCCTCTGAATGGCACACATACACAATCCATTTCTCAGCTGTCTCAAGGCAAAACAAATCATTCTTTAACCTGTCTCCTCCCCTTCATCTACATTGATTGAAGTGGATTCAACATTTGACATCAATAAGGGATCATAGCTTTCACCTAGATTCACCTGGTCAGTCTACATTGCATTTGGAAAGTATTCAGACCCCTTCCCTTTTTCCACATTTTGTTACTTTACAGCCTTATTCTAACATTGATTAAATTGCCCCCCCCCCCCTCAATCTACATACAATACCCCATAATGACAAAGCAAAAGCAGGTTTTTAGAAAGTGTAAAAAAAATATATATATACAGTACCAGTTAAAAGTTTGTACACACCTTCTCATTCTAGGTTTTTATTTTATTTTTACTATTTTCGAATAATAGTGAAGATATCAAAACTATTAAATAACACATATGGAATCATGTAGTATTATATTTGAGATTCTTCAAATAGCCACCCTTTGCCTTGATGACAGCTTTGCTCACTCTTGGCATTCTCTCAACCAGCTTCACCTGTGACTTGAACTCTGTGAAGCATTTATTTGGGCTGCAATTTCTGAGGGTGGTCTCTCATGAACTTATCCTCTGCAGCAGAGGTAACTCTGGGTCTTCCATTCCTGTGGCGGTCCTCATGAAAGCCAGTTTCATCATAACGCTTGATGGTTTTTGCGACTTTACTTGAAGAAACTTTCAAAGTTCCTTACATTTTCCGTATTGACTGACCTTCATGTTTTAAAGTAATGATGGACTGTGTTCATAGTTTTGATGTCTTCACTATTATTCTACAATGTCAAAAATAGTAAAACAATAAAGAAAAACCTTTGAATGAGTAGGTGTGTCCAAACTTTTGACTGGAAGTGTATCCTTATTTACATAAGTATTCAGACCCTTTGTTATGAGACTCGGAATTGAGCTCAGGTGCATCCTGTTTCCATTGATCATCCTTGAGATGTTTCTACAACTTAATTGGAGTCCACCTGTGATCAATTCAATTGATTGGACGTGATTTTGAAAGGCACACACCTGTCTATAAGGTTCCACAGTTGACAGTGCATGTCAGAGCAAAAACCAAGCCATGAGGTCAAAGGAATTGTCCGTAGAGCTCAGAGACAACGCCCCACTATGCTGTTTACTTTCTGCATCTACATCATATCGCTGAGTCTACCTTTAATAACATGTATATAAATAATGTTGCCACTACATTTGCTGTATTATTATAGCCAGTAATATTACTGTTTACTGTGATATTGCTTATTTCAGGGAAAATTTGCAGTATCTATTAGTATTCTAAAGTACACTGAACAAAAATATAAAACGCAACAATTTCTAAGATTTTACTGAGTTACAGTTCATATAAGGAAATCAGTAAATTGAAATAAATTCATTAGGCCCTAATCTATGGATTTCACATGACTGGGAATATATATATGCATCTGTTGGTCACAGATAACTATTTATTTTAAGGTAGGGGCGTGGATCAGAAAACCAGTCAGTATCTGGTTTGACCAGAATTTGCCTCATGCAGCGCGACATCTCCTTCGCATAGAGTTGATCAGGCTGTTGATTGTGGCCCGTGGAATGTTTTCCCACTCCTCTTCAATAACTGTGTGAAGTTGCTGGATATTGGCGGGAACTGGAACACTCTGTAATACACGTCGATCAAGAGCATCCCAAAAATGCTTAATGGGTGACATGTCTGATGAGTATGCAGGCCATGAAACAACTGGGACATTTTCAGCTTCCAGGAATTATGTACAGATCCTTGCGACATGAGGCCGTGCATTATCATGCTGAAACGTGGTGATGGCGGTGAATGAATGGCACGACAATGGGCCTCAGGATCTCCTCACGGTATCCCTTGACTGGAAGAATAACTATAAAGGATTTTTGTTTGGGAATAACTGGGCCAATACATTGTGGAACATTCATAGAGAAATGTATTATGTTGAACAAACATGCCTCTCTGACATGTGGAATAAGGAATTGTGTCAGCTGTATTCATTATATTTCTATATGCAACTTAACACGTTGTTAGGCCACCTTTTATGCCTGGTCTTGGCCTTTGGGAGGACCCGTGGACAGGAAGGGGTTAATGGCCAATGTGATTATCCGGATCTTGTGATCCAGAGCTGAGCCATGAATGAGTGCCTTTTATGTGCAGTGAGCAGACTTCATCTCAGCCAGTAGAGCTGCCTGAAAACCACCCCACTACACATCGTGGTGAGTTGGATCAAATGGAATGATTACCTGTATATAGATCTATTTATGTGCTATATGTATTGTTTGTGAAATCATGTTTGCCTATTTGAGCTGACCTACTTCTATGAATGTTCCTATGTATCTCTGACAAGTTTGAGAGAGAGCTTTTCTGCACCCGTGGTGTCATGACGATTCAGGTTGTTTTTTAAGAGTTGCTGACCATACAACCTTAGCTTTTCATAGAATGTTTTCAATGGCAAGATTTAAAGATGTTTGTAGAACTATGAGAAGGCTGATCTGCCCAGAGAAAAACATTTCACTGAGGGAATTACCTGCACAGGCATTTGGTCTGGTTTTCTGACAGAGTGGGTCATTCATAGCCTCCTGAAATCCAATACCTCAGCCCTGATCTAATGGTGAAATGACTTTCTTTTAACACATGACAACAGGCACAGCTGTTGACCTACTGTATGCTACAAATAACAATCATTAGGTGAACTGAATGATAACCAACCACATCGCTGGCGGTAAACTACTATATTATGTTCCTCTGGTCAGACCATGTTTGGATTCTGTTAATGTTTTTTTTTTTACCAGTGTAGCAGTGCTGTATTCACTCATGTCAACATTCCAAAATTCAAGATGTACCAACACCTCTCAAAGGTGAAAAATTGTTATACATATTCAATTTTGGTCCTGAAGGTCTACTGCAGCTGCTGGTTTCCATGCAATCCCTCTGATGAGTGACTCACTCAGATCTGGGACCAAATACTATTTGAAATCATTTCAAATACTTTAGATGTGCTTCATTGAGCATGCCTGTTGCAATGGAACCAATAGAAAAGTCCCAAAGGTGCAAACCCCACCCATATAGCAACCCAGGCAGGCTGAAGCAAATGCTCAAAGTATGTAAAAGATTTCAAATAGTATTTGAACTCAGGTTTCCCTGGGACATCAGCTGAATTAACTATCTTGTCAGTCAATTATATGTACAATTCATCTGATGTTTGGGTGAGCGATTAGCATTTTGTCCGCTTGTTTATGTTTAACTCCTGAAAAAGGGGTTTTGGTAATTAGTACTCTCAATAACTAAACCATGATGCCCTTGTCGTTTTGATTTGAGGGTGGATATTGGGGATTACCGAGCCATGTATCTGAATCCCCTGGTAATCTGGCTAGTTGGCACCGAAGAGTGAGGTGCTTGGAGGCTGTAGCTCGGCCTCTTGGCCATGGAGACAGGGGGGCCTCCTGCTGCACCAGGCCAGCCTGGCCAACCCGGTCAGCCAGGCCCGGTGCTGGGGCTTCGGAGTCTCTCCTTTGCCTACCAGGGATTGCTAGAGATCCCCTACGAAGTCATACTAGCCCAGCGAGACACCCTGGAAGTGTTGGACCTCAGCTACAACCTGCTGGAGGAGTATCCTTCTGCTATGAGCCCTATAGAGACAGAGGCAAATACACACATATTACATACACATGTGCTACACACACACACACACACACACACAATCTCTCTTGTCAAAACACACATACACATCTGAAGTCCATCTCTCTCTTTCACGCACAAATCAGAGACATGCTATGCATGTGTACTATACTATTAACACACAGTCTACCTGGCAATGTTTCTCCTTCACTCAGCTGCCAACGGAGCCCAGCTCTCCTGGGTGAACTGGAGAAGCTCAGTACTCTGATCCTGGACTGCAACAGCTACTCGTCCCACGTCAAGTTCCCCTACATGCCTAGTGTCACCACCGTGTGGATCAACAAGAATAAGATCGGCAACCTGCCCATCTTCGTTGAGGAGATCCGAAGCAAGTTCCCCAACATCAAGTAAGACTGGCTTTTACTGAAGTCATTGGGGCAGTGTGTGTTTTTGCTTGGGTGTAAGTTTCTGTTGAAGCCAACACCTTTGTTGTTATCATTCCAAACTGCGTTCAGTAGGGTGCAACATTGTGGAGCATTGAACAGACATGTTAATACAATGTTCAAAAAACATGAGAGCATAACACAAAGACCATTTTCAAGTTTCAAGTTTTAATGTCACATGCACAAGTACAATGCAGTAATACATATTAATGTAGTCCTAAAAGCAACATAAGGTAGAACAAAAACACACAAGAAATAAGAAGAACACAAGAAAGTAAGTAAACTCTATACAGGGTTAGTTCCAATACCATATTTACAATGTGCAGGGATACTGGAGTGATAGAGGTAGACATGTACAGTGCCTTGCAAAAGTATTCATTCCCCTTGGTGTTTTTCCTATTTTGTTGCATTACAACCTGTAATTTAAATTGATTTTTATTTGGATTTCATGTAAAGGACATACACAAAATAGTCCAAATTGGTGAAGTGTAATGAAAAAAAGTACTTGTTTAAAAAAATTTGAACAAATAAATAACGGAAAAGTGGTGCGTGCATATGTATTCACCCCCTTTGCTATGAAGCCCCTAAATAAGATCTGGTGCAACCAATTACCTTCAGAAGTCACATAATTAGTTAAATAAAGTCCACCTGTGTGCAGTCTAAGTGTCACATGATCTGTCACATGATCTCAGTATATATACACCTGTTCTGAAAGGCCCCAGAGTCTGCAACACCACTAAGCAAGGGGCACCACCAAGCAAGCGGCACCATGAAGACCAAGGAGCTCTCCAAACAGGTTAGGGACAAAGTTGTGGAGAAGTAAAGATCAGGGTTGGTTTATAAAAAAATATCAGAAACTTTGAACATCCCACGGAGCACCATTAAATCCATAATTAGAAAATGGAAAGAATATGGCACCACAAAAAATCTGCCAAGAGAGGGCCGCCCACCAAAACTCATGGACCAGGCAAGGAGGGCATTAATCAGATAGGCAACAAAGAGACCAAAGATAACCCTGAAGGAGCTGCAAAGCTCCACAGCAGAGATTGGAGTATCTGTCCATAGGACAACTTTAAGCTGTACACTCCACAGAGCTGGGCTTTACGGAAGTGTGGCCAGAAAAAAGCCATTGCTTAAAGAAAAAAATAAGCAAACACGTTTGGTGTTCGCCAAAATGCATGTGGGAGACTCCCCAAACATATGGAAGAAGGTACTCTGGTCAGATGAGACTAACATTGAGCTTTTTGGCCATCAAGGAAAACGCTATGTCTGGCGCAAACCCAACACCTCTCATCACCCCGAGAACACCATCCCCACAGTGAAGCATGGTGGTGGCAGCATCATGCTGTGGGGATGTTTCTCATCGACAGGGACTGGGAAACTGGTCAGAATTGAAGGATTGTTGGATGGCGCTAAATACAGGGAAATTCTTGAGGGAAACCTGTTTCAGTCTTCCAGAGATTTGAGACTGGGACGGAGGTTCACCTTCCAGCAGGACAATGACCCTAAGCATACTGCTAAAGCAACACTTGAGTGGTTTAAGGGGAAACATTTACATGTCTTGGAATGGCCTAGTCAAAGCACAGACCTCAATCGAATTGAGAATCTGTGGTATGACAAAGATTGCTGTACACCAGCGGAACCCATCCAACTTGAAGGCACTGGAGCAGTTTTGCCTTGAAGAATGGGCAAGAATCCCAGTGGCTAGATGTGCCAAGCTTATAGAGACATACCCCAAGAGACTTGAAGCTGTAAATTCTGCTAAAGATGGCTCTACATAGTATTGACTTAGTATTGAATAGTTTTTTTGGGTCTTATTTCTTGTTTGTTTCACAATAAAAAATATTTAGCATCTTCAAAGTGGTAGGCATGTTGTATAAATCAAATGATACAAACCCACAAAAAAATCAATTTTAATTCCAGGTTTTAAGGCAATAAAATAGGAAAAATGCCAAAGGGGGTGAATACATTCGCAAGCCACTGTATAAGGGTAAGGTGACTAGGCATTTAAGTGTTGTTGTTCGACCTCTGGATGTTTTTACTTAATTTAGGATTGTCAGCATGATGAACAATGAAGCAGCACCCAGCTACTTCAATGGAGGGAATCTAGACCAGTACATAGACTACAGGTGAGCTTGAGTGAACACAGCTGATACACTAAAGCTGCACCTTTTTGATCAGATGTCTTTTTAGATTTAGATGAGAAGGATGTGTTGTGTAACCTTACAGTCATAGGAACATGACATGATTCTATATCTCAAAATAAGTTCGTTGAAATTGTGTGATTTACAGTACATTCGGAAAGACATTTTGTTAGGTTACAGCCTTATTCTAAAATTGATTTCAATCTACACACAAAAATACTTGCGGGTCGGTTTTGGAACGCGGGTCGCCTGTTGCCGACCCCCGCTATATACCAGACTTACTGTCCCTCATCAACATGTTCTGTCATTACTACAGTATGAAATTATGTGCTTTATGCTTTTTGTGTCTCGCCCACAAACATGATCCTCCTCTGGCCACACAGGCAGTATGTGATCAGTCAGATCCCAAGCCTGAAGATCCTGGATGACGCTGAGGTTTTGGATAAAGAGAGAGCACAGGCTAAGAAGACCTATAGGATGCAGAGGACCAGAGAAGGCAGCAAAAGGAGGAAGGAACTCCATCATTGAATCCCTCCATAACACTGCTCCCTATCGAACTGAACTTTATCAAAGATTTATCAAGATGAGAAAATAATCATTGTATAGATAGATGACTAGTTCAAGGCAAGTTAGCACCATTTGCAAATATATGAAAATGAACATGGGATAACATACTTATGACTTTTCTATGGATAAGGGGGTTCTAAGCTGAAATATGGAATTGTTTTAAGATGGTCATGCGATGGATCATTTAGCTATTTGATTTAGAATTTTAGGACCCCTTTAGGTATAAAAAATATTTGATAAAATATTGAATTTGGACTTTACTACTACAGCCCATAGAAACACATTAAATAACCCATTCATAAATGGCTTAAAAGACAGTCAACAAATAAATCATGAGGAACAAGGTTTTGAAGTGTCTGTCCTATATCTAGGAGATATAAGAAAAGCAGGAAATATATATACAGTGCCTTCGGAAAGTATTCAGACCCCTTGACCTTTTCCACATTTTGATACGTTACAGCCTTATTCTAAAATGGATCAAATAAAATAGAAATCCTCAGCAATCTACACACAATACCCCATAACGACAAAGTGAAAACAGGTTTTTGGAAATGTTTGCAAATGTATATAAAAATTAATAAAAAAATACCTTATTTACATAAGTATTCAGACCCTTTGCTATGAGACTCAAAATTGAGCTCAGGTGCATCCTGTTTCCGTTGGTCATCCTTGAGATGTTTCTACAACTTAATTGGAGTTCACCTGTGGTAAATTCAATTGATTTTACATGATTTGGAAAGGCACACACCTGTCTATATAAGGTCCCACAGTTGACAGTGCGTTTCAGAGGAAAAACCAAGCCATAAGGTCGATGGAATTGTCCGTAGAGCTCTGAGACAGGATTGTGTCGAGGCACAGATCTGGGGAAGGGTACCAAAACATTTCTGCAGCTTTTAAGGTCCCCAAGAACACAGTGGCCTCCATCATTCTTAAATGGAAGAAGTTTGGAACCACCAAGACTCTTCCTAGAGCTGGTCGCCCGGCCAAACTGAGCAATCAGGTGAGAAGCGTCTTGGAACAGGGAGGTGATCAAGAACCCGATGGTCACTCTGACAGAGCTCCAGAGTTCCTCTGTGGAGATGGGAGAACCTTCCAGAAGGACTACCATCTCTGCAGCACTCCACCAATCAGGCCTTTATGGTAGACTGACCAGACGGAAGCCATTCCTCAGTAAAAAGGCACATGACAACCCACTTGGAGTTTGCCTAAAGGCATCTAAAGACTCTCAGACCATGAGAAACAAGATTCTCTGGTCTGATGAAACCAAGATTGAACTCTTTGGCCTGAATGCCAAGCGTCACGTCTGGAGGAAACCTGGCACCATCCCTATGGTGAAGCATGGGGGTGGCAGCATCATGCTGTGGGGATGTTTTACAGCGGCAGGGACTGGGAGACTAGTCAGGATTGATGCAAAGATGAACGGAGCAAAGTACAGAGAGATCCTTGATGAAAACCTGCTCCAGAGCGCTCAGGACCTCAGACTGGGGCAAAGGTTCACCATCTAACAGGACGACGACCCTAAGTACACAGCCAAGACAACACAGGAGTGGCTTCGGGACAAGTCTCTGAATGTCCTTGAGTGGCCCAACCAGAGCCCGGACTTGAACCCGATCGAACATCTCTGGAGACCTGAAAATAGCTGTGCAGCAACGCTCCCCATCCAACCTGACATAACTTGAGAGGATCTGCAGAGAAGAATGGGAGAAACTCCCCAAATCCAGATGTGTCACACTTGTAGCGTCATACCCAAGAAGACTCAAGGCAGTAGTCGCTGCCAAAGGTGCTTAAACAAAGTACTGAGTAAAGGGTCTCAATACTTATGTAAATGTTATATTTCCATATATACACTACCAGTCAAAAGTTTGGACACACCTACTCATTCAAGGGTTTTTCTTTATTTTTTACTATTTTTTACATTGTGGAATAACAGTGAAGACATCAAAACTATGAAATAACACATATGGAATCATGTAGTAACCAAAAAATAGCCACCCTTTGCCTTGATGACAGCTTTGCACACTCTTGGCATTCTCTCAACCAGCTCCATGAGATAGTCTCCTGGAATGCATTTCAATTAACTTCTTAAAAGTTAATTTGTGGAATTTCTTTCCTTCTTAATGCATTTGAGCCAATCAGTTGTGTTGTGACAAGGTAGGGGGCTATACAGAAGATAGCCCTATTTGGTAAAAGACCAAGTCCATATTATGGCAAGAACAGCTCAAATAAGCAAAGAGAAACAACAGTCCATCATTATTTTAAGACATGAAGGTCAGTCAATATGAAACATTTCAAGAACTTTGAAAGTTTCTTCAAGTGCAGTCACAAAACCATCAAGCGCTATGATGAAACTGGCTCTCATGAGGACCGCCACAGGAATGGATTACCCAGAGTTACCACTGCTGCAGAGGATAAGTTCATTAGAGTTACCAGCCTCAGAAATTGCAGCCCAAATAAATGCTTCACAGAGTTCAAGTAACAGACACATCTCAACATCAACTGTTCAGGGGAGACTGTGTGAATCAGGCCTTCATGGTCGAATTGCTGCAAAGAAACCACTACTAAAGGACACCAATAATAATAAGAGACTTGCTTCGGCCAAGAAACACGAGCAATGGACGTTAGACCAGTGGAAATGTGTCCTTTGGTCTGGAGTCCAAATTTGAGATTTTTTGTTCCAACCGCCGTGGCTTTGTGAGACGCATGTGGGTGAACGGATGATCTCTGCATGTGTATTTCCCACAGTAAAGCATGGAGGAGGAGGTGTTATGGTGTGGGGGTGCTTCACAGTTTTGATGTCTTCACTATCATTCTACAATGTAGAAAATAGTAAAAATAAAGAAAATCCCTGGAATGAGTAGGTGTTTCCAAACTTTTGACTAGTACTGTATATATTTTTTAAACCTGTTTTTTTTTTTTTTGGGGGGGGGGGGGGGTATTGTGTGTAGATTGATGAGGAAAATAAACTATTTAATCAATTTTAAAATAAGGCTGTATCGTATCAAAGTGGAAAATGTCAAGAGGTCTGAATACTTTCCGAATGCACTGTATGTAGGGTGATTGGCAATAGTGCTGGCCAATCCCCAGTCAGCACCACATTCATGTTCTGTGTAACTGTCATTTTGGGGCAGTTGACTTGACATATGGCCCCAGCATAGAACCCAGATTGTTCTGTGCTGGAGCTAGTCAGTCCTTTAAAAGTGTTTGATGTTTGTGTACAATAAACATCACGGAAAGGTTTGTTTTGGTCCTTCCACCCACGTCCTCCACAATAGCTGTACAGTGAGTTATTAGTTAGCTAGATTCATAGTGCTAGTCAGGTTAAAGTTAGCTGCTGAGGTGATTGAGCATTAGCTAACGTTAGCTCACGCTCGGTGAAGATCTCAAACCACAACAATATGTTACGTTTTGTAAGTATGTATTAATTTGTGGATGTCCATCATCCATTTCGTATTATATGTTACAAATTGCAATTTGTACGATATGTTACGAATTGCAATTCAAACAATATGTTACGAATTGCAATTAGAACAATATGTTACGAATTGCAATTCGTACAATATGTTATGAATTCGCAAAATGTATGATATGTTATGAATTCCAATTAGTTGTTGCTAACGTTGGCTAGGTGGCTAATGCTATCTAGGCTAGGGGTTAGGGTTGAGGTTAGGAGTTGGGTTAGCTAGAAGGGTTAGCTAACATGCTAAGTAGTTGCAAAGTTACAAAAAAATTGAATCGAACATGCAACCATTTGCGTTATACGCCTACCCATCCAACCCGACCAACCACCTTTCTTTCGTTTTTGCCTTAAGTAACCTTCTGTCTTATGTAACCAAATGTAACATATCATACTAATTTGTGTGTGAGTCGGATTTACTTTACTATGTTACATCAAGTCTATGAGACCAGGCTGGAATTCCATGTAATACAATGCAATGTAGCCAATGTTGTCGTTTACACTGAACCTTGCGTAGTTTCCTCCAGGTAACCCCAGGTGTATGTGAGAGAGAGGGAGGAAGACTACAGCCATGAGTAACCCTTTTGCATACATAGTTGAGGCTTTGGACCCAAAATACCAACACCCCTTTGGCAATTGTTTGTGTGCGTGGTTGGTGTACTAGGCTAAATTTGGGAAATTAACTGAAGTTCAATGAAGATTTCATCTGATTCATGAATTGAATTTCAGATAATTTTTGAACTGTGAATTCTAATGAACTTGACTCCAACCCTGATAAATGGTTGTTATTAAATGCCTCCCTCCTCCTGCAGACCGCCTGCTATTCTCCATCCGCGTGCTGCTGGAGTCGGCTGTGAGGAACTGTGATGGGTTCCTGGTGAAGCAATCGGATGTGGAAAGCATCCTGAACTAGACGCAGACTCAGAGCGTGGAGGTGCCATTCAGACCTGCACGGGTCATCCTGCAGGACTTCACGTGAGTCATGTGAAATTACGAGACATCTTTCATGGTAAAGTATGCAGTTGTAATAGCTGTATTGTAAACTGGGAGAAGCTGATGGGTAGCCAAATTGAGGTTTTAACCAGGGTGTGGCTTTTCTTTCCCTCTGAATTGGAAAGGGATTTCTATTATATTCTAACTTGTGTCCCCGTTGTCTCTCTTTGCTGCGATGAGCGACGCGGTGAAGCTGGGGGGAGATCCAGAGAAGATCAACCCAGTCTGTCTAGCCGACCTCATCATCGATCATTCCATCCAGGTGGACTTCAACAGGAAGTAAGTCTGGGGGGGTCAGATTTATCAAAGGGTTGTGTGTGTGTGTGTGTGTGGGGGGGGGGGGGTCAATGGAAGTAGGGCTGAATGTCATAATTCTGTGAATTTCCATTTAAGAGGAATTTTTGTGGATTAGAAGTTTATGAATACTGGTGAAGTACTGCTACATCCAGTTAACACAAATATAAACGCAACATGCAATTCAGTTACAGTTACAGTTCATACAAGGAAATCAGTCAATTGAAATAAATGTATTAGGCCCTAATCTATGGATTTCACATGACTTTTTTGCATATGGTTGGTCAGGCTGTTAATTGTGACCTGTGGAATGTTTTCCCACTCCTCTTCAATGGCTATGCGAAATTGCTGGACATTGGCGGGAACTGGAACACACTGTCGTACACGTCGATCCAGATGCTATGTGCCATCTGCCTGGTACAGTTAAAACCGGGATTCATCCGTGAAGAGCACACTTCTCCAGCGTGCCAGTGGCCATCGAAGGTGAGAATTTGCCCACTGAAGTCGGTTACGACGCCGAACTGCAGTCAGGTCAAGACCCTGGTGAGGATGATGAGCATGCAGATGAGCTTCCCTGAGACGGTTTCTGACAGTTTGTGCAGAAATTCTTTGGTTGTGCACACCCACAGTTTCATCAGCTGTCTGGGTGGCTGCTCTCAGACGATCCCGCAGGTGAAGAAGCCGGATGTGGAGGTCCTGGGCTGGCGTGGCTATACGTGGTCTGCGGTTGTGAGGCCGGTTGGACGTACTGCCAAATTCTCTAAAATGAAGTTGGAGGCGCCTTATGGTAAATAAATGAACATTCAATTATCTGGCAACAGCTCTGGTGGACATTCCTGCAGTCAGCATGCCAATTGCACGCTCCCTCAAAACTTGAAACATCTGTGGCATTGCGTTATGACAAAACTGCACATTTTAGAGTGGCCTTTTATTGTCCCCAGCACAAGGTGTACCTGTGTAATGATCATGCTGTTTAATCAGTTTATTGATATGCCACACCTGTCAGGTGGATGGATTATCTTGGCAAAGGAGAAATGCTCACTAACAGGAATGTAAACAAATTTGGGCACAACATTTGAGAGAAATAAGCTTTTGTGCATATGGAACATTTCTGGGATCTTTTATTTCAGCTCATGAAACATGGGACCAACACTTTACATGTTGCGTTTTATATTTTTGATCAGTATATAATTATGTGAGAAATGGTTCTACCTTTTACTACATATTTATGAATCACACATAGGCCTGTTATGTGTAAGCAGCACAGAGTGGGGCTGTTCTGTAGGGTGAGCTGATTAAGTGGACTTTGCTCTTAGAGGCTAAGTAGTAGGGCTGGGAGTTGCCAGGGACGTCAAAATACGATATTATCACAATACTTAGGTGCTGATACGATATGTATTACGATTTTCACAATTCCATATGTATTGCAATTAGATACTGTGATTTTATTGCAAACATATTGCTCACCGAATGTTTGCAGAGGGGCGAGGGATCATGAGAAAATAGTTTTGATCATTCAGGGAAATAAAAGTCGCTGAAAACAAACTGCAAGCATATTTAAAAAGAAGATGGAGAATAAGCTATGAAGGAAAAATACTGGAGTTTTGGTGCAGGTACAGCCAACTAATGCAAAAATAATATTGTGATATTGTCAAAATGATGAGATCCGTTATATCGTGAAAAATAATATCCTGATATATAACTGTATAGATTTTTTCCTCCATGACTGCTAAGTAGTTTTTGACATTACTGCAGACCATCAGTCGTCATGATGTTGCATAACGCTGAAATAAAGACCACTACATTTTGACCACTCTGAGTCTCCAAGCTTACATTGTTGCAAATTTGAACTGCCATTTTCGCCCTAGAAGTGTCAAACTGTAAAGCAAAACATTCCACATTCCCAACGCTGATACACTGTTGCTTACAGATGGTCCTTTTGTGCTCATTCTACTTTTAAGTAATTATATTAGGAGAATGCAAAACGTCATGGACATTTGAGTAATTTTCACCTAGAATGACCCTGAGGATGTTCTGAAATACTCCTCAACTCCTTTCATAGAAGTTTCACTTTTATGAGAACTGATGACAAGTGTGTTTTATAAGATGATCACATTGAGTCAGCTCTGTAATTACACTTTAAAAACGGTTTAAATGTTTCTTATTCCAGGTATGACAGTCTCCAGAAAAACCAGGACTTGGAGTTTGACAGAAACAGAGAGCGTTTTGAGTTCTTAAAGGTATTAAAAACCCTTTATCCACTATTCATTACGCCGATTCTGTTGCAACAGAAACCGTTTACTCCAAACGGAAAACGCAAACGAGTGTTTCTATTGGACAAGTTCAGGTAGGTCCCTCCCCGTTTTGTTCCGTTTGCTTTGTTGGGTTCTTAAACGGTAAACAGTTTCCGTAATGAATACACTCCAGTACTTCAGCCCAAAATTACCCTTATAAGTCTGCTTTAGCCAAATATAAATGTACTTTAGCCAAATATGAGCTATCTAGCCTTGCTACTAGAACTGGACTAAATCCTGCCTGACATGTTTATTGTAGGTGTGAGCGGGTATGGAGGCGGAGGCCGTCATGCTGGGCCAGCCAATCAGCATGGTGCTCCCTGAGGTCATCGGCTACAGGCTGCAAGGCACTCCAGACAAGTTCATCACCTCCACCGACATAGTCCTCACTGTCACCAAGGTAACCGGTTACACAGTTGCATGACAATGGGGCCACTGTTTATCTATCCTCTTAGACATCTCTTTTGAACAAATCTGTCTAATCAATATAGCTCAAGGCATGAAATTATTCAACAAAGTAGTACTATCAATGCGATTCATTTGGAGGCTGTTGATTTGATTCTTGAAAAACGGACTTTCCCTAATGGGATCAATAAACTTGTATTAAATAGTTTAGTTGTAGATAAACAATGGCGAATGTTTCATTCCACAAGTGTATGTCACATAGAAACACCACTTGTCTAAGTGTCCCATGCTCTCCCTCTCTGCCCACAGCACCTGCGCCAGATCGGCGTCGTGGAGAAGTTTGTGGAGTTCTTCGGCCCAGGTGTGGCACAGCTGTCCATCGCCGACCGAGCCCAGATTGCTAACGTGCCCAGAGTATGGAGCCACTGCAGCCTTCTTCCCGTGGACTACATCAGTGTTCAGTACCTGGAGCAGACAGGTGGGATCTTTAAATGTTGCATATTCCAGAAAAAGCATGGCAGATGCTACTTTTAAACTGTAGCCTCTGAGGTTTTAGCACCTACTGTCAACAATGTCTAAATACTTCAGAGTTATTTGAAATGTAAAACGCGGTTGAAAACAGTATAAGTCACCTTCCCATGGCAGTCAGAACTTTGTCCTTTCTCTTTTTCTTATGTTTCCCTTCATTTCTTTTTGCTGCTCCCTCTGCTCAGGGAGAGATGCTGAGAAGCTGGACGACATCACTAGGTATCTGAAAGCAGTCGCCATGTTCAGAGACTATAGCAACTCCTCCCAGGACCCCGACTTCACCCAGGTACTCGAATCCAAACTGGATCATTTTAAAATGCATTTCATCATTTAGAAATGAGGACTTGTAGATGTAAGTTTCAGGATTTATGATAAAAGATTGTCAGGCATGAGTTATGGCAACTTTGGCAAGTTATTCTGTTTTGAAAGTGATTGGACACAGTCTATGTCTGGGATCTACAGTATGTGTCAAGTGATCACTAATAAGTTTCACTAATAACCCTCTTTAATTCTTGTTCTACTCTTCTATGGGTTAAGGAGGCATCACAGATTTCCATCCAGGTCAGTAGGAGGGATCATGTAAGAGGTGCTCCCACTAGCTTTTCTAACTCTGTGGACATGTCTTTGCAGCAAGGCTTCAAGGGTTTCCAGGTGGCCCCGGAGCGTCACCACGCGGAGGTTCCCTTCCAGTACAATGACAAGGAATACAGCCTCTCCCATGGCTCAGTGGTCCTCGCTGCCATCACCAGCTGCACCAACACCAGCAACCCCTCTGTTATGCTGTGGGCTGGTACGTACTAGCCCTTGCCCCATACCCCATGCCCTATCTGGGTCGTGTTCATTAGACACCAAACAGAAGAACATTCACTGAAATGGGGAGGGACTACCGTTTTGAAATGTTTTTCATTACGTGCCCGAATGAACACGACCCAGCTATCAGCAGATGTGATTTGACTTCTATCTGGGAAGTTTCTCAGTCATTGAGGTTTAATTGGTTCTGTGTTGCTTTTCAGGTCTCCTGGCGAAGAAGCTGGACTGAGCATGAAGCCCTACATCAAGACCAGCCTGTCGCCCGGCAGTGGAGTGGTCACATACTACCTGAAGGAGAGCGGCGTCATGGACTACCTCTTCCAGCTCGGGTAAGGCAGTCCTTCCTAAAGACTGACCGATAGTCTAGAGATAAGGGGTTACTCTCAAAAATCTGTCCTAGCTCCTTGCATTCTTTCTCCTTACATTCCCCTCCCCATCAGGTTTGAAGTGGTGGGCTATGGCTGCATGACCTGTATAGGCAACAGTGGGCCTCTCCCAGAGCCTGTGGTGGAGGCCATTATTCAGGTAACTACTAACTTTTAACATTTACACCCACACCTGGGTCGTGTTCATTAGGGAACCCAACAGAAAACGTTTTGGAAAGGAAAATGAAAATGAATTACTCTCATTGGACAAGTCCATGTAGCCCCGCCCTGTTAAGTCCATTTTCTTCTGATGGGTGCCTTATGAACACGACCCTGCAGGGTCAATGGCTACAGGTCCTCACTCGATGCTTTACCTGCCATTCTCTTCCAGGGAGATCTGGTAGCTGCTGGAATCCTATCAGGTAACAGGAATTTTGAAGGGCGTGTCCACCCCAACACACAAGCCAATTATCTGGCCTCTCCCCCACTGGTCATCGCCTATGCCATCGCCGGAACTGTGAGGATTGACTTTGACAAAGAGCCCATTGGTGAGTATCTTCAAACAAACACAGTGTTCTCTTGGCAACAGTTGTATAGTTTTACTATATAGCATTTACACCAGTGGAAGCTGAAATGTCTGTAATGAAATGAATGGAGTGGTACCATTCCATTCCCCCGATTACAATGAGCCCATTCTCCGATTTAAAAGTGACACCAGCCTCCACTGGTTCACACATACTGTTCTGGAGTACTCAAGAAGTTGAATGAGATTAGGCCGTCCCGTGCTGTTACTGGTTTCTGTTGTTTCTCTCTCTCTCTCATATATCTCCTCTGGAAGCCCAGTGACACAAGACTTCCAGACGAGCTAAACCACTTCTATGCTCGCTTTGAGGCAAGCAACACTGAAGCATGCATGAGAGCACCAGCTGTTCCGGATGACTATGTGATCACGCTCTCCGTAGCCGATGTGAGTAAGACTTTTAAGCAGGTCAACATTCACAAGGCCGCAGGGCCAGACGGATTACCAGGACGTGTACTCCGAGCATGTGCTGACCAACTGGCAAGTGTCTTCACTGACATTTTCAACATGTCCCTGACTGAGTCTGTAATACCAACATGTTTCAAGCAGACCACCATAGTCCCCGTGCCCAAGGACTCTAAGATAACCTTCCTAAATGACTACCGAGCCGTAGCACTGACGTCTGTAGCCATGAAGTGCTTTGAAAGGCTGGGCATGGCTCACATCAACAGCATTATCCCAGAAACCCTAGACCCACTCCAATTTGCATACCGCCCCAACAGATCCACAGATGATGCAATCTCTATTGCACTCCACACTGCCCTTTCCCACCTGGACAAGAGGAACACCTACGTGAGAATGCTATTCATTGACTACAGCTCAGCATTCAACACCATAGTGCCCTCAAAGCTCATCACTAAGCTAAGGATCCTGGGACTAAACACCTCCCTCTGCAACTGGATCCTGGACTTCCTGACGGGCCGCCCCCAGGTGGTAAGGGTAGGTAACAACACATCTGCCACACTGATCCTCAACACGGGGGCCCCTCAGGGGTGCGTGCTCAGTCCCCTCCTGTACTCCCTGTTCACCCATGACTGCATGGCCAGGCACGACTCCAACACCATCATTAAGTTTGCCGACGACACAACAGTGGTAGGCCTGATCACCGACAACGATGAGACAGCCTATTGGGAGGAGGTCAGAGACCTGGCCGTGTGGTGCCAGGACAACAACCTCTCCCTCAACGTGACCAAGACAAAGGAGATGATTGTGGACTACAGGAAAAAAAAAGAGGACTGAGCACACCCCCATTCTCATCGACGGGGCTGTAGTGGAACAGGTTGAGAGCTTCAAGTTCCTTGGTGTCCACATCACCAACGAACTATCATGGTCCAAACACACCAAGACAGTCGTGAAGAGGGCATGACAAAGCCTATTCCCCCTCAGGAGACTGAAAAGATTTGGCATGGGTCCTCAGATCCTCAAAAAATTCTACAGCTGCACCATCGAGAGCATCCTGACTGGTTGCATCACCGCCTGGTATGGCAACTGCTTGGCCTCCGATCGCAAGGCACTACAGAGGGTAGTGCGTACGGCCCAGTACATCACAGGGGCCAAGCATCCTGCCATCCAGGACCTCTATACCAGGCGGTGTCAGAGGAAGGCCCTCAAAATTGTCAAAGACTCCAGCCACCCTAGTCATAGACTGTTCTCTCTGCTACCGCACGGCAAGCGGTACCGGAGTGCCAAGTCTAGGTCCAAAAGACTTCTCAACAGCTTCTACCCCTTATGGCTTATAAGACTCCTGAACAGCTAATCATGGCTACCCGGACTATTTGCACTGCCCCCCCACCCCATCCTTTTACGCTGCTGCTACTCTGTTAATTATTTATGCATAGTCACTTTAACTCTACCCACATGTACATATTACTTCAACTACCTCAACTAGCCGGTGCCCCCGCACATTGACTCTGCACCGGTACCCCCCTGTATATATAGCCTCCCTACTGTTATTTTATTTTACTTCTGCTCTTTTTTTCTCAACACTTTTTTTGTTGTTGTTTTATTTTTAATTTTTTGTTAAAAATAAATGCACTGTTGGTTAAGGGCTGTAAGTAAGCATTTCACTGTAATGTCTGCACCTGTTGTATTCGGCGCATGTGGCCAATGAAATTTGATTTGATTTGATATACCTTTGAACAATGAAGGGAAGGCAGTTTTCCTGAGGGATATCTGGCCCTTGCGGCAGGAGATCCAGACTGTGGAGAGACAGTTTGTAATTCAGGCGATGTTCAAAGAGGTCTATGAGAAGATTGAGGTAAACTCAGCTCTTTGGAAAATAATATTCTATAATATAAGGTTGGGGGGGGGTTCTAAGTAATCTGAACTTTTCATGACTAAAAAAGTATGAAAATTTTTAAGATGTGGGTGAATAGCAGACTTTTTCAAGGTATTCGTACATTTAGTGTAGAGAGCTATTGTTGTTGTAGTTTTATATGTGACTGTTCTACCCTGTTCCGCCCTGGCAGAAAGTGAACGAACACTGGAACGCCCTCAACACCCCCCCCAGACAAGCTGTACACCTGGAACCCCATGTCCACCTATATCAAGTCTCCACCCTTCTTTGATGGACTGGTATGACACACAAACAATGCCGTTGTTGTAATGTCTGATTTCTTTCCCCTCTCAGGTTTTATCTTTGAAAGGGATTGTTCAGTGAAAGTACATATTTATATATTGTTCCATACGTAAAAATGTATGCGCACATGACTGTAAGTCGCTTTGGATAAAAGCGTCTGCTAAATGGCATATTATTATTATTATTATTATTATTATTATATATTTATTTCCTTACCTTGAAATTAGTTTATGGACTGTGTAGAGGGTTCTTTACACAGTGCTGATATTCTCTTATTCTTAAAAAAACTTTAAACTTCAGAAAATGACACAGACAACGGCTTGTATATGTAAAATATATATAGTTATGCAATTGCAGGCAGACATTAATACAGAGTCAACATGATTTGTATAGATAGCTCTTCATAAGTTCTGTTTGGTGTCTAAGACATCCTGTAACTTATAAAGCCTCCCCAACCCTTCCTAGCGTGACTTCCCCTAACAACAACAGCTTAATACATCTACCTATCCCTGACAGCGCCAATCATCTTGTCAGTATTCTATAGCTTCAAAAACATGGGCTTGACCGATACTTGTCTTCTCATACAGAAACTAAACAATATCATCTTGTGACATACAAAATTTCATAAAGGAGAAGTAAGCGGCTTATAGCTCAAGGGGATATTTCTTGTTGTTAGGCGCAGCGTCCTCTTTTCACAGAACCAGACAGCCAGAGTGTCAGTCAGACACAGAGGTGCAGATGCGTGGGCGTCCTCTTATCTGATAGTGCCTGCAGGGTAAGATACTCAGACATGTTTTAACACACACACAGGCCTCTCTAGAGGAGGCCTTTATAATCTAATATTTCATATCGCATTTCATTAACCCTTTAGAGGGGTTGACACTCCAAGTTAACCCCTTCAACTGCAATCCACAACCACTTTCACAAACTTTCTTTTACTTTCTACGTGCTGCTAAACGTCGGTGACTCTGTGACCACAGACCACATCTTTCCTGCTGGGAACATCGCCCGAACCTACCTGACCGGCAGAGGGTGAGAGAGATGGGAGGGGAGGCAGTAACTATAGCCTTTTCACACTACTGAGCCGAGCCACGCTGTATTGGCCTGGTTAGTTGCTGGAATCATAGTTGCTGGAATGGACAATGTGAAAGGAAAAAAATCCAAGCCAGCCCAGTACAGTTTGGGTGGGCGCGAAAGTGTGAAAGCTTTATTTTGCTAACTAGCTTTAGCTTATTACAGTGAGCTCCAAAAGTATTGGGACAGTGACACATATTGTTATTGTTTTGGCTCTGTACTCCAGCACTTTGGATTTGAAATGACACAATGAATGTGAAGTTAAAGTGCGGACTGTCAGCTTTAATTTGTATTTTCATCCAGATTGGGTGAAGTGTTTAGAAATTACAGCACTTTTTGTACATAGTGCCCCCTCCACCCCATTTTAGGGGATCAAAAGTATTGGGACAAATTCACTTATGTGTATTAAAGTAGTCAAATGTTTAGTATTTGGTCCCATATTCATAGCACGCAATGACTACATCAAGCTTGTCTCTCTACAAATGTGCTGGATGCATTAGCTGTTTGTTTTGGTTGCATGCAACATTTTAAAGTAGTCAACCGGATTGGACTTACTATGGGTTTATAGAAATGAATGGTAAATAATGTATTGTATAATTTTGGAGTCACTTTTATTGTAAATAAGAATAGAATGTGTTTCTAAACACTTTACATGAATAATAATAATCCTGAATGAATTGTGAATAATGATGAGTAAGAAAGTTAGAGGCATAAATATCATTCCCCCAAAACATGCTAACCTCCCTCCCCTGTTATTGTAATGGTGAGGTTAGCATGTTTTGGGGTATGATATTTGTGCATCTTTCTCACTAATCATTATTCACGATTCATTCAGGAATATCCGCAACCATGGTAGCATCCACATTAATGTAAACTCAGCAAAAAAAGAATCTCACTGTCAACTGTGTTTATTTTCAGCAAACTTAACATGTGTAAATATTTGTATGAACATAAGATTCAACAACTGAATTTCCACAGACATGTGACTAACATAAATTGAATAATGTGTCCCTGAACAAAAGGGGGGTCAAAATCAAAAGTAACAGTCAGTATCTGGTGTGGCCACCAGCTGCATGAAGTACTGCAGTGCATCTCCTCCTCATGGACTGCACCAGATTTGCCAGTTCTTGCTGTGAGATGTTACCCCACTCTTCCACCAAGGCACCTGCAAGTTCCCAGACATTTCTGGGGGGAATGGCCCTAGCCCTCACCCGCCGATCCAACAGGTCCCAGACGTGCTTAATTGGATTGAGATCCGGGCTCTTCGCTGGCCATGGCAGAACACTGACATTCCTGTCTTGCAGGAAATCATGCACAGAACGAGCAGTATGGCTGGTGGCATTGTCATGCTGGAGGGTCATGTCAGGATGAGCCTGCAGGAAGGGTACCACATGAGGGAGGAGGATGTCTTCCCTGTAATGCACAGCGTTGAGATTGCCTGCAATGACAACAAGCTCAGTCCGATGATGCTGTGACACACCGCCCCAGACCATGACGGACCCTCCACCTCCAAATCGATCCCGCTCCAGAGTACAGGCCTCGGTGTAACGCTCATTCCTTCGACGATAAACGTGAATCCGACCATCACCCCTGGTGAAGCAAAACCGCGACTCGTCATTGAAGAGCACTTTTTGCCAGTCCTGTCTGGTCCAGCGACGGTGGATTTGTGCCCATAGGCGACGTTGTTGCCGGTTATGTCTGGTGAGGACCTGCCTTACAACAGGCCTACAAGCCCTCAGTCCAGCCTCTCTCAGCCTATTGCGGACAGTCTGAGCACTGATGGAGGGATTGTGCGTTCCTGGTGTAACTCGGGCAGTTGTTGTTGCCATCCTGTACCTGTCCCGCAGGTGTGATGTTCGGATGTACCAATCCTGTGCAGGTGTTGTTACACGTGGTCTGCCACTGCGAGGACTATCAGCTATCCGTCCTCTCTCCCTGTAGCACTGTCTTAGGCATCTCACAGTACGGACATTGCAATTTATTGTCCTGGCCACATCTGCAGTCCTCATGCCTCCTTGCACCATGCCTAAGGCACGTTCACACAGATGAGCAGGGACCCTGGGCATCTTTATTTTTGTGTTTTTCAGAGTCAGTAGAAAGGCCTCTTTAGTGTCCTAAGTTTTCATAACTGTGACCTTAATTGCCTACCGTCTGTAAGCTGTTAGTGTCTTAACGACCGTTCCACAGGTGCATGTTCATTAATTGTTTATTGTTCATTGAACAAGCATGGGAAACAGTGTTTAAACCCTTTACAATGAAGATCTGTGAAGTTATTTGGATTTTTACTAATTATCTTTGAAAGACAGGGTCCTGAAAAAGGGACATTTCTTTTTTTGCTGAGTTTAGAAGTGTTTAGAAACATATTCTATTCTTATTTACAATAAAAGTGACTCCAAAATGACACACTACATTATTTACAATACATTTCTATTTGGCACAAAATAATCTGAAACACAACCAAAACAAACAGCAAATGCATCAAAAGACTGATGCAATCATTGCGTGCTAGTAATATGGGACTAAAGACTACACTTTTGACTAATTTAATAAACATATAAGTGAATTTGTCCCAATACTTTGAGTCCCCTAAAAAGGGGGGACTATGTACAAAAATTGTGGTAGTTTCTAAACGGTTCACCTGATATGGATGGAAATACCCTCAAATTAAAGCTGTCAGTCTGCACTTTAACCTCAATCATTGTATATTTTCAAATCCCAAGTGCTGGAGTACAGAGCCAAAACATCAAAAAAAGTGTCACTGTCCCAATACTTTTGGAGCTCACTGTATGTCTAGCTAGCTTTAGCTTAGTATGTTTTTATGTTGGAGTCGAGTTGCACCCAGACTCCAAAGTAACATTTGAACCCCTTTCCAGTTTGAACCCACGTGACGGCTCTCGGCGTGGCAACGATGCTGTGGTGGCCCGTCACACGTTCGCCAAACATCCGTCTCTTCAACAAGTTCCTGAACAATCAGGCACCGCGTACCCTGCACCTACCCTCTGATGAAACGGTAAGGCCCTGGAACAAACGGATAACGTAATAACTTTCAATAATGTCATACGTTTTCCTGTTATAATGTAATAAAACCAGATAATGTAATGCAGCTCCCTCCTATAGCTCAGTTGGTAGTCCATGGCGCTTGCAATGCCAGGGTTGTGGGTTCGATTCCCACGGGGGGCCAGTATGAAAAATATATACACTCGCTCTGGATAAGAGCGTCTGCTAAATGACGTAAATGTAAAATAATTGTATAACTTGTATACATTCTCTGGTGGCTATTACTTTATCAAATGAGTAACACAATTTTTATGACTAATGTAATGACTTACATTTATTGTATGTTTAGTGTTTGTTCTTGTATTTTGACTGCATATTACAGTGTATTTTGTTTCATGGCTGTTATATGTACTATGGTTGTCCCTATGTATCAATGTATTCAGTGTGCTCTAGCCGTTGTCTGCTTCCCTGAACAGCTGGATGTGTTTGACGCTGCAGAGTGCTACCAGCAGGCTGGCTTCCCCCTCATGATCCTGGCTGGGAAGGAGTACGGCTCTGGCAGCTCCAGAGACTGGGCCTCTAAAGGTCCTTTCCTCCTGGTCAGGCTCTCGTCTTCTTTCACGACAGCGTTATCATCACACAAACTCATTTGATCATGTATGATGTATTAGCTGAATGTAAATTAGGGGCAAGCCTGTATGATACTTTTCAGTATCAAATATAAGATTCTGGTGGGCTATGTGGATGTTTTTGTAATATATTTATTGAACAAAGATTATACAATGCAAAGTAGGGAGCATTCAAGGTACACATAACAAACGGTGAGCTATGTAGATGCCCACTGTTACCTGCCTGATACCCTTCCTCTGTTCCCCTCTCCCAGGGCATCAAGGCTGTGCTGGCAGAGAGCTATGAAATGATCCACCGCAGTAACCTGGTGGGCATGGGGGTGATCCCTCTGGAGTACCTGGCCGGGGACACGGCAGACAGCCTGGACATGACGGGGCGAGAGCGCCACACAGTGGTCATCCCAGAGCCACTCACACCCAAGATGATTGTTGACATTAAGGTACGTCCAGTGATTACATAGGGTGGGAATTGGGAAATTCTGAGTTAATGAGTTATGTGAAAGTCTGAGTTGCTAGTGGATGTCTAGTCAAAAAAAGAACACTTAGTGATTTCTATGAACTCTCTAATACATTATGATTCTGTAATAGATTAGAAAGGAGCAATGCTCAATATATTTGCCTTTTTTACTATGAGCAACCTACAACTGTCAGTTTACCCTTCCCTCACAGCTCAACACGGGCAAACATTCCAGGCGAGGATGAGGTTTGACACAGACGTGGAGCTGACGTACTTCCACAATGGAGGCATCCTCAACTACAAGATCCGCAAAATGTCTGAGAACTAGAAGGAGCACATCGTCGGGACCAAGCCATGCTGAACACGCACATCCTCTGTGTAGACGGAGATACAGAAAGCCCTGACTCGCCCTCTGTGTTTGTTTGAGTTTACCATTTGGTTTTCATCATGTTGTCTCCATTGGTTTTAGTGCATTAATCGACCGCAGTGCTGGTTCCATACTTGATCCATTGCAGCTAGGGATGATGAAATGAGTCAGAACCCCCCACATTTAACACTGGTATGATAGACACCTGGGTTCAAATAGTAATAAAGCCCAGCCAAAGTATTTGAAAGAAAACAAATGTATTTTAAATCCAGGTCTCCTATGAAGTGACATTAATACAGTAGCCAGGGACTTCTGGCCTCTCACCCTACCTCTGCATTGCCAAACCAGTTATCCACTTACCCTTGTCCGTCCTCCTTCCATGCTAACATTAGCTAGCCATGCACACAAACCTAGTCTGCCCTGGTTGGTTCTTGTCCACAGTCCAGTCGTTAATATTGTTGGTTCAAAGCTGCCATTCATTGTTATCTGTCTCGACCAGGATTGTATTTGTTGATTTTCAATTCTTGTCATTGTGTCAATTGGAAAATAATTGCTGCTGTGGTGGAGTAGGCATGGGCTGCTTCTGAAATGGCACCGTATTCACTTTTGACCAAAAGTAATGCACTACATAGGGAATAGGGTACCATTTCGGACGCAACCATGGTGGAGTTCCATTCTATGTGTTCTGTTTGTCAACCCCAGACACTGTAATCTGTAATGGCTTCAACTCCTGACAATAAGAGTGTTGTCATTGCATCATGAACAAGAGATTGCCATGGGTATTCTAATCAACTGTTTGATTGCCTTAAAATGTTTAAGTTGACGCTATTGGCCCTCCCCTTTTGGCGAGGTATAATATATTGTGTGTGTCTCTCAGTTGAGAGCCATTTAAATGTTGCCTCTGTACTAAATATATATTTTTACTAGATCCGAGAATTTGTGGCAGCGTAATTCCAATCTTGTTCTCTCTGTCGTGTAAATGTACTTTTCTCTCTTAACCTGTTGATGTTAGCTATAGGACTTCTATGATTATGTAGTGCTGAGTGCTTACTACTGTTGGTGAGTAGGGTTGCAAAATTCCAGTTATTTTCCCAGAATTCCCAGTTGTTCCAGAACTCCCGGTTAGTATATTCAGGAGGGAATGAGCAGGAAATCCAGGAATTCTCCAACCAGGATTTCTGGAAAACCCGAGAATTTTGGAAAGTTGATGAAGGCTGAAATATGAATCTTTTAACCTTGCTTAAATAAAACAAATCATCGTTAATGGTGAGCGAACGTTGTGCCTTTTCCTTTCCAATTTTGGGAAAGTTACCAGAATTGTTCAACCCTAATGGTGAGTTTGGCTGGACTTAATACCCTGGTGCTAGTATAACAGGAGGTGAGTTAATCAAATCAATCTATCTATCAAATTAATACAAGCAAACCTCATTAGGTTTCTAACCTGAAGCCACAATTAATATTTTTTATCTAAGCACTTAGTGTTTTACGGACCAAATTGTTTCTGTCTATCAAAAGGAATGAAGGCCTACTTTGAGATTCTTCTCAAAACCTTGCAGCTCTGATATGGAGAAAATGTGTATTTTGTCTGTTAGCAGAAGGAATCTGCTACAAGGCCAAATCAGGGCTAGTGGCTGTCTCTTAATAGTCTTAGTGCTGTCCCCTTCCAGTTATCCTTTCCACAAATAACTTGAGAGGTCAGGGGAAATTCCTGGTACATATCCACCATATTGCTTTCACCTATCATGTATTTTTAGTGATTGCATAATTATTTATATCAACTGTTATGTTATGGGTAGGTTGACGTTTATTGGGATGAGTCTTGTCCTTGAGGCAGAACTGAGCGATTTCCACTAGATGGGCTAGCTGCAAGGTCAAAATTGGCTATATTGTAACATTTATGAGAAGAAAAAAAAAAACACTAGCTTTTTGGTTTTAATTTAAGGTTAGGGCTAGGCATTAGGGTTAGCAGTGTGGTTAGGTTTAAAATCAAAATGTTTGGCTTTGTGGCTGTGCCAGCTAGTGACCACTGCAGAGCTGCCTCCAGATCAAGATTCATGATGAAAAAAACACTAACCTGCATGATATGGCTCAGGGGCAGAGTAGACTATGTTTGTCAAATTGTTAACACACATTCATTTATGACTTATAAGACATGAATGTTCTCTAATAAACTTTAACTTCTACTTTACTGAAATGCAGCACTGTTGTGTCAAAATTATTGTGCATTATTAGCATATTATAGCCTATTCTAGAAAAATAACTAATAAAGCAGTAAAATAAAGTCACCTGATGGATTTCTGGAATAATAGAAGTTTATAAAATAATTGCACACAAATCATTACATTTAAATGGGATGTGAAAATAAAATAAATTCTGTACAGTAACTGGCTAAAATATTGCAAATTTCACAATGTAATTTGAGAAAGCAACTGAACAAGGGATCCCACAACTGCATAAAAAGCTGTATCGAAGGCAGCTGATACCTTTCTGTATTTGTGGAGTTTCTGTGGCATAATGTGAACTGTAGAGTTGGCGCCATATACACTGAGTGGCCAGTTTTTTAGGTGCACCCATCTAGTACCAGGTCGGACCCCCCTTTGCGACCAGAACAGCCTGAATTCTTCGGGGCATGGAAACGTTGCTCAATTGGTGTCAAGGGACCTAATATGTGCCAGGAAAACATTCCCCACACCATTACACCACCGCAACCAGCCTATACCGTTGACTCCAGGCAGGATGGGGCTATGGACTCATCCCACTTATGCCAAATCCTGACTGCAATCAGCATGACACAGGCAATGTTTTTCCACTTCTCAATTGTCCGGTGTTGGTGATCGCGTGCCCACTGGAGCCGCTTCTTCTTGTTTTTAGCTGATAGGAGTGGAACCCGGTGTGGTCGTCAGCTGCAATAGCTCATCCGTGACAAGGATCGATGAGTTGTGCGTTCTGAGATGCCGTTCTGCACACTACTGTTGCACTGCGCCGTTATTTGCCTGTTAGCTTGCACAATTCTTGCCATTCTCCTTCGACCTCTCATCAATGAGCTGTTTTCGCCCACAGGACTGCCGCTGGCTGGATGTTTGTCGCACCATTCTTGGTAAACCTGGCCATTTCTTAGATACTGGAACCGCTGCGCCTGGCACCGACGATCATACCACGCTCAAAGTCGCTTAGGTCTCTCGTTTTGCCCATTCTAACATTCAATTGAACAGTAACTGAATGCCTCGATGCCTGTCTGCCTGCTTTATATAGCAAGCCACGGCCACGTGACTCACTGTCTGTAGGCGCAAACCATTTTCGTGAACAGGGTGGCGTACCTAATAAACTGGCCACTGAGTGTAGTTTCACATTGATGAGAGTAACCTGAATCTTATGTTGTTATTCATAAAATATTACGTTTTATGTTTTTTAATACAGAAATACATGGAAATACTGTATTCCACAAACCCAGTTATGACTCATTTCAGACAAGACAGTGTTACTACCATCAAGGACCTACATTTGAATACAACCTTGAGACGGTGAAAGCAAATAATACTTTAAATGTACACATTGAGAGGTATGCGTTAGTCACAATACAATGTTATACACTGATATTCAATATTACACAGATGACCAGTGCAGCAGTTACAGCTCTCAAAAATAATAACTATAGCTGTTACACAGGTGAACAGTACTATACATCTGCACATGGTAAAGCTACTCAACATTAAACGGATAGTTCACATTAAGAAGGGTAAGGAAACCAATGTAATTTCAGTGAACTATCCATTTAAACTACAGTAGCTGGAAAAGCGCTTAGGAGCAGTTTGACAGTTACAAGATGAAATATATGACGTTGTGAGCTTCAGCGGTACTTGTGTGACATGTTTGCTGACTGAATTTGCAACTGATGTGATTGATGCACTACTCCCATTTAATTAAAGCTGACCTCTTCATTTATCTATTGCTGCAGTACCATAGTAAATCTCCTTTGGGTGATTGGGTGATGTTAACTGTATGAATGCAACTTGTCTTGAGAGTCAGCTCCATTCCTGTTGCAACAGCAGTGGAAAGAAAATAGTTCTGATTCATAGCATCAATCCAACGTAGAAATCCCCCTTGGTTCACGTCTTGATGTAACATATGTAGCGATGTCCCTTGCCCGTCTTACAGTCTCTGATCTGCCACTTGGCCCTCCTCCACACCAGAACACACCTCCTGGTCCCCTTCCTTTTGCCTCTGGCTGGGCTCTTCCTCCAGTTGGTGTAGGTGGTGGGTTCTCCACCCACCCACTCCCAGCGTCCTCGTCTCTCCCTGTCGTTCAGACCTGAAAGATGGAGAGGACAGTGAGTGAGATGAGGTAGACATGCGCACACATACACATTGAGCCACTTTTCAGCCAATGGAGATAGGACAGGATACTTTTTACCTATCCAGAATGGTTTCCTTCCACTGAAGTCCCACAGCCAGTCCATATCAGCCTTGGAGAAAACGCTCACCAGATTGGCTTGGTGACTGGAACCACAGGAAAAATACGAAATTATAGTTTACTACAACACAAAGGCACATTCTCGCAAAATAGGTAACATTTCTTGTTCCCCTCCTCACCTCTCCCTGCATTCCCTGATGGCGGTGCTCCACGTCGACTTGCGCTCGGTGCTCAGGAAGTAGCAGTAGCCACTGTGATAGGTCCAGCCCTTACGACAATTCTGAGCACTGACCATCTGTGTCGGGGAGGAGGAAAATGGCTGGCCAATGAGGTGAGAGTTCATTACTGAAATAGGAAATAACTAACATTAAGGGCTGGTTTCCCCCGACACATCAAGCTCAGTCCAAGAAAGTGGCCCAGAATGTTGAGCTATAAGTTGGGGTTAGCCCATACTCTTTGACCCTGAAATAGTCTACCTATGATATTTATAACACAATTGGGCAAATGATGAGGGTCCATTATTATTCTGTTTCAGGCACCATCCATCCCAGATTGATTACCTCATCAGTGGGAGCCCAGGGCTTCCAGGAGACCCCGTTGCAGCGCAGGAGCCCGCCTGAGCTCTGGTTAAAGTGCAGGAGCCCCATCAGCTCTGGGACACAGGGTTTAGGGCCAGAGCTAGGTGAAGCCTCCTGAGGGACAAAATCATTAGAGTGAGTAACACATTTAGTTCATTTGTTCATCATATTGGAAGTAGTTTATAGGCCAAGAGAGAGACTGTAATCTATGCTTTTGTTTATATAGCCACTGCCACCAATGTCTGAATAACCCTCAGTCTGTTTATATTGAGGCGATTTCAGTCCTACCATAGCTGTCACACCATGAGATCCGAACCTCTTGATATGATTGCTGGTGTTGTACTAAAGTCGCTACGATATAGAAACTGTTACGAATAAATGTAATGATGACTCACCTTCTTATTGGGCTGCTCAGTCTTTGTAGGTGGGAGCATCCTGTCACCCTTCCTCTTAGGGACAGGTTTTGGGTTGAGGTTGGGAGCCACTGTTGGTGTTGCTGCTGCATGTTGCTGCTGCCCTCTGCTGGTCACCTGAATATTAGCCTTCCTTCCCTTCCTAGAGGGAGACTTGTCATCCTCCAGGCGCACTGACATGATCCCGTGGTACTGCAACCATGGAGAGGCAGTGAGAGAAAGACAGTGAGGGCTGTCCCTAGGTTGGATTCGGTGTGTTAGCTTAGTGCAAAAGGTGGTAGCCCAGCTTACCGTAAACACAGTGTCTGTTCCATTACGATGGACTGACGATGGTGGAATCTGTGAGAAGATAATACATGATCAAGTTGTGCTATAATCTGTGGGTTTTGATGGTTGAAACAAGACTAATAGTCTATAGTCCCTGTTTTATGTACTTACTGGGTCACATGACGACTGTGTACATAACTCTTAGGTTTAGCATAGTTTAGAGTGAAGGACACTGAACAAAGACTTAGGACAAACCTCAACCGAATAACAATCACACTGGTGATTACAGAGTAAAAACTTACTGTCTTCCTATTGCCCATGGCTCTGAGTTTCATATTGGGCGTGGCAGGCACAGCAGCGGGCACAGACTGGGGCATACCATCACCCCGGGTCCAGGTCATCTGCTGGTCTCCCTTGGCAAGGGGTAGTGTCTCCAGCTGAATGGAGCCATGTTGGGGGTAGGGCCCTGACTGAACCTGCTTCCCCCCCAGACTGGAAGCCCATAGGGGCCCGACTGGATCCACACTGTCCTGGAAAAGCACAGAGACTTACATTCAGAGATTTTTAAACCACGTCAATACTTCATAGAAGGTTGGTGTATTGTCTCTATCAGTCTTTGGCTTCCTTGGTACCTCCAGTTTCTATAACTTGAAAAATGTACCTTGACAAGACAATTGAAAAGGTTTCTATTTGATTTAGTTAGGGACTACAGTATTAGGGGCAACATCCTAAATGACCACTAGTTCCACAGTGTTCACCTTTCCCAGAGTCCTTGATTTTAACCAGAGCTTTGGAGGTGCTGCCTACTACGGTTCCCTCGGGGGACACCAGCGTCACTTCAAATGTCTCCTCTGCCTCCTCCAGGTGATCTTGGGTAATCTCAATACGCCAGCTCCTTTTGGATACGCCTTCATAGAGAGCACACATTTTAGTTACCTATCTCCCAATCTATGATGGTAACTCATATCAACATCCCACTACAAAGCCACACGTACCAGGATCAAACTGGATTAGGCTGGACGGGCTCAGAGTGAAATCCTTTCCAGCAGTCGCTGTGACCTCTCTCACCTAAGATATTGAGAAAAGGGGAATCCGAAAGTGACATTACATTCATCGCACTATAATGGATTTATAGTGCCATCTATCACTCGATTTACCTCATCGAGACTAACCTGGTTAAATAAAGGTTACAAAAAATATATATGCAATTTAGCAGAATCACTAGATTACAGGAATTGGTATAAGAATCATACTGTTTAAAACAGATAGAACAGAAACCTTGATGGTGATGTATGAGGACTCGGCCATGTTGCCTTTCCGTAGGACGTCCAGTGAGACAGTGCCCTGATCCTCACATGCCTGGTACTCAGACACAGCCAGCTCCACACGAGACCACTTCAGCTCCAGTCTGCAGCATGGAACCATGAGGAACACAGCACAGTGAAAACAGTTTTACTCACTAACCAACGATCCTGCATTGCCTTTCCAAGTTGATTGAGGGTGATGGTATCTTCTTTCATAACAAGGACACAGTACATATGTTATATACACAGACCAATACAGTCGTTGGGGACCATTTATCAAATCTTCATAAGCTGTCATATAAATTGGCCTTGTCATGTACAGTAGTAAGTATGTAACCATTGGTTCTCTCCTCCCCTGACTGACCACAGTATGTAGAGCATATTAATACTATTTGTGTCTTGGGCGGAGTAGCATCTCACGTGTGGGAGGGCCCAGTGTTCCCCAGAGGGTCGGACACTCTGAACTCCAGGCTGTCCGACATGGCTTCTGTCACTGGGTCTATGATATACACGATAGTCCTTTTGCTCAGGTCCCTCTGAGTGAAACGCTGCTGGACAAAGCTGCCTGCAAGAGCACAGTGTAAGATTGACTGTTTACTGAAGAGCAAACACAATTAACCTGGGGTCTATTGGCTATCGTAATGTAATTTTTTTGAAGGAGCACTGATGGCCTAATTAAATGCATTTGGATTAATTATGCGTAAAATAAACAACATTTTCAGTATTTTCTGTGTACAAAAGGTTACAACTGAGGGAATGGGGCCTGACGCCCCTGCATATGAGGCCTTACCTTTGATAGTATTCTCCAGGTAGCCAAAGTATGGTGGTCTGTGGATGTGGAAGGTGAGGTCTTCGTCCTTGGTGTTGGCGTCCTGCGCTCTCAGCTCCCGGGACGAGAGGTAGATCCCATAGCGACCGTCAGACAGGACTTCAGCCTTCCACAGAGACTGCAGCTGCACAACCTCAGGAGCCGAGCTGTCCAACGGCTCAATCTGGAATACAGGGTCTTGTTCATTAGGCACCATCAAAGGCGTCCATCAAAACCTTCCCTTGATTGCACAACTAATTATTTCAATTCCACTACTATTGAATAAGTTGCTGTGCTGATCTAATGTACACCTGAAATGGCCCCTCTAGCGACATATCTGGGAAGAGGCGTGTATGCAGATGAGTGTGTCCTACCTGAATGGTGAAGATCACAGGTTCCGTCTGTACCATCCCCTCCAGCAGGAAGCCCCTGTTGGTAGTGTCTGAGGCTGTGAAGGCAAAGCGGTCGATCTGCGACGGGCCGCCCCCGTGCCTGTAGGTCACATCCAGCTCCTGCAGGTCCCACTGGGTGAAGTTACCCCCGGCAGCGAGCGGGACACCGCCCCGGAGCAGGGTGCCGTACTGCGGAGGCTGGGCCAGGAAGAAGAGCAGGTCACTGGGTGGGGTGTCGGGGTCGGACAGGGCGAGGGTGTCAGGGGTCACCGCCATGGAGGAGTCCTGAGGGACTCTCAAGCCGCTGTTACAGGCCAGTGAGGGTAGCACGCGGTCGGTGGTCTCCACGAAAATCTCCAGGGTGCCGTTACGGGTGGCCTTGCTGTTGCTGACGACAAACCTGGCAAAGACACACAGGAGCATGGCAGGTTCTTAGGGGAAGGTACTTCATCCCAAACAATGTATTAAACTTATAGATGTGGGTCAGATTTGGGCCATCTGCTATCTGGTATGATGACCACAGTCTTTGAGATGTACATTTTTTTCTACAAATCAGCATAGTTTGCAGCATGTTCCAACCTCTATTATGTGGAATAATGTTAAGATTATCATCTGTTTCATTTTATACATTTAGAAGGGTTGCCATTACTGTAGTGTTTCCAGCGGCGCGGTGGCTCTGTTGTCGTGGACGTAGCCCACCAGGTTGGCAGCGATGTCCATCTGGCTGAAGGTGCTGATGGCCACCCCAGGGTGTTTGATGTACTCCATGTGGCCGTTGCTGGGGGGGACCGTAATGATGTAGAACAGCTCCTCGGGTTTGTCTGTACCATCCGTCGCCAGCAGGATGTCTGTGGTCAGAACCACGCGCTCACCACGGCTGGTCTTCACCGGCTTCACAAAAACGGCAATGTTTCCTGGGAATTGATAGAGAAAGTGAAGTCTTAAAATGAACGTTTGCACTAATTGGTTTACACAACATAGTGAGGTTTATAAGACTTAGAAACCTGCTTATTTTATGAGTTATTTTAGCTATGTTTAACATTATTATAATACACATAAGACAACAGTAGCAGTGATGAGTTTTCTCTACTAGTGTTTGTTTTTTACACAGAGACTAACACTGACCATGAACGTTATAGCAAACTGTGCATAATAGTGCACTTCCCAGTTTGGTGGTCTGTCCATCTATTCACAAACCTTTCTCCATGTCCTTGAGGGAGATGTGGAAGTGCTGTGTGGGGGATCGGTTCTTCCCGTCCAGCAGGTGGAACATAAAGAAATCCTGCGTGTGTCCCAGTGGCCCCGTATGGAGGTAGCGCAGCAGGTTCATGTCCACTGTCTCCTGGGTGCAGTTCATCCCCGCAGACTGGGTCACCCAGTCAGACCCCACCTGAGAGGGGACCGTGGACAGTTAGGGAGAGAACACATAATGTAAGGCACATAATGACTCAATGTTGATGGTTTACTTACAGTGAAATCACGAGCAGACTGAAAGTAATATCTTTTGAAAAATGTTATGTTGACATGCATGATTTTGTGGGACTGTTTCAAAAGTTGACTAATGAAGAATATAAAACAACTATTTTTTTAAGTGAAATGCCCCTTTAAGCTAGCATGGAAAAATACTTTCTATACTGGCATTTGTTAATAACACCTACCAGTTCATATCAGATGATACAGGAATGTACTGACCTTAACCTGTAGCAGTCCCTGAGTGGGAATGCTCTCCAACATGTAGACTATCTCCTGGGAGGTAGTGTCGCTGTCCTGAGCAAAGACAATAGCACTGGAGATCAGCCTAGCCTCGCCTGCTTCCACCTCCAGTCCATTGTTCCTATATGGCAGACAACATTTTACATTTTTTTTACATTTTAGTCATTTAGCAGACGCTCTTATCCAGAGCGACTTACAGGAGCATTTTTAGGGTTAAGTGCCTTGCTTAAGGGCACATCGACAGATTTTTCACCTAGTCGGCTCGGGGATTAGAACCAGCGACCTTTCGGTTACTGGCACAACGCTCTTACCCACTAAGCTACCTGCCGCCCAACCATGTTTGTTTAGGAGTAGGGTGAAGTTGCTTTGGTCAGTTTTGCATTTTCCCCACTAATGGTTAAGGTTAGGACTGGGGGACCGGAAACTGATCCTAGATCTGTACCTAGGGGAAACTTCACCCAAACTGTTTGTTTATTAACTTATGTGAAATGTGTACCTAATGTACACGTGAAGGAGAAATTGTGGTGTAGTACTCAGGAAAGCCAGAAGGGGGAGCACAGATATAAGGGAAGTCTAGATTAGGAGGGAGGAAGTTTATACTACCTGTTGTAAACTGGTTGCAGTATGTTCCATGTACGGATTATTGGTGAAGTAAACTCATAGTAAACTTTACAGAACATGTGGACATCAATGAAATGTTTTCTCTGTGTAAATGTAACAAGTCCCATCTGTTACCTTATGACTCGAGGCTCCTCATCATTGACAGGGAGTACGTTGACCATCACGTGTCTGTGGAGCTTGTGTTTCCCATCGGTCAGCTGGATGGTGAAGCTGTCCACCATGTTCTCAGAGTCATCGTGCATGTACATCAGAGACATACCTGAACAGTGGAGGTGAACTCATTATTTGAATGTGCCTGTATATATAACACCACGACTGAAGATCACAACAACAACAAAAATCCACCAAATTTCTCTATTTGAGTCTCAAACAGTTTTTTCATGCTCTTCGGGATCACCAGTCTCAATAATGGCACAGTGCTACGGTGTCCATATTAGGACAGCCTTTGAGTCACAAGAAGTTGGTCACGGTACAGTACCATTCCTCAGCTCCTGCATGGTGAAGTCCTGGACCAGCACCTCTACGTCCCTGCGCCTGTTGACGGGTCTTCCATTGGTGGGCACGTCGTTGCCATACGTTCGGCCCATGATGGTGCCATGCTGCGGGGCCTGGACCACGCTGAACAGCAGGTTGTTCTTAGGGACATCCAGATCCACCGCGTTTATAACAGTAGGGTCCAGCTCCTTCATATGTCCCTCTCGCACCTTTTTACATGGGAACATTAATGGGGACGTCGGTTAAATCGGTCCTGATGTGGTCTTAGAGTGCTTTGAGGCATGTTGTACTATAGAATAGGTGGTTAGGAGCCATTACCTATCATTTCAGTTGTTGTAAATGTGAAATCAGAGAGTGATCTATAATAGCTTTATATGGTGTAGACCAGGGGCCTCCAAATCCGGCCCAGGAAAGCTACAAGAAGTGCAGGGTTTTGTTTCAGACCAGCACTAGCACACCTCATTCCACTAATTATGGTTTTCAGCCTGGACCAGGTGTGTTGGGCTTGAATAACACCCTCCACATGCAGTAACTCTCCAGGACCGGAGTTGGTGGTGACCTCTGCTGTGGATAATTGACAGCTTGTCGACGGGTGACTCACCGTGATATTTCTGGCGAGAAACTCCGGGACCTCGTCATTGATGGGGCTGATGATGGTGTAGAAGTGGACGTGGGCAGAGGTGTGTTTCCCGTCAGAGACACAGAGCATGAACTGGTCAGCGGTTGGCTCGATCCTCTGGTGTCTGGACTGGACGTAGTTCACGTGTCCATTCATGATGTCACTGTAGGAGAAGGAAGCTGAGGAGAGATGCTGAGGTTGAACAGTATGGAACCTTTACAGTTAATAATGTACATACCGGTTATACATACTACGAAAAGGGGACAAAGTTAGAGTTTTTACAAAGTTTAATGTAACAAGTGATTTATTTAGGAAAAGAAAGCAGTGGATTGTTCACTGCTTATGAGGATTCCATATGGCTTGAGGTTACAGCATTATAGTCTAAGAAAAAGTGGAAAGCCTGTGATGTGAATGGTGTTCAATGAAGACAAATATGATGGGGTTAAAGCTACTCACCAATGCTGATGCCTGTGTTGCTTTTCTCAAATCCAGGACTGGGCAGAGTATTCTCAATGTAGCCATACTGGGGAGGAGAGACCAGGCTGATCACCAGCTCCTCCAGAGGAGTGTCCACATCCGAGGCCCTGAGGTGGGCTACAGTTATAGGGGCCACACCCCCCTCATCCACCACAAACACATCTCCTACAAAGGAGGAGGATAATATCCATATTGAAGATATATTGATTGACCATTTAGGTATAATTGTGAGAGAAAAGAGTAGTGGAATAAACTATACAGTATTGCTCAATATTTTACTTTTCTGTTGATGAGCCCAGAATGTTGCTTTCAGTATTTTCTTCCACTAGCCTGCACTTGCTAATTTGGGGTTACGTTTGCTCTTGAACCATTTCACAAATCTCAAGGATACTAATAATGTCTGAACCTTCATAAAAATAATCATAGGCATCGCTGCAACATTGCTCCAACATCACTGCATTCATTACCTGTTGCAATAGAAGGCATCTGACTGTCCACAGGTAACACAGTGACCTTCAGGTCATACAGAGGCAGGCTCTCCTGGACTTGTGTTCTGCCTCTTTTGAATGTGTCCCCTCGGTCATTACAGCATGACGGAACATTCTCCGCCTGTCCGTCGGATATCACAAACGTGATTGTGTCGTGTCGAGGGGCTAGTCCAATCTCCGCTCCTGAGAGACATAAGAAACATGATTGCAGTTTTTGGCTTCAAAGAATGGGATGAAATAATATGGTTATAATCATGTTTTTTGACTCGCGGAGAAACAGTTGTAAAATGTTAGGGTTAATGTATAACATATAATAAAACAAAACAAAAAATGGAATGTTATAAACCACCAATACACATTTATGGTGGTACATGGATGAGGTAGAGTCATTGATAAATAGATTTAACAATAATACCTGTGTGTTTGTAGGTGATAATCCCTGCGGCAATGTCTGCCTGAATGAAGTGATCGACCACAATGGCATTTTTGCGCACTACGCCATTGTATGGCTGGCGGGCAATCATGTAGGTCAGACTGTTGTCGTCACTGTCTGCGTCTGTGGCGTAGATGTACTCAGCGGTGATGATGACTTCCTGTCCCTCTGCACAGTCCAGAACAGGTTTCAGACCTGGCATTAGAACTGGAACCTCATCATTGATCAGTGTCACCTGTTGACAAAGATATGGTCTATGACTCTCATACAGCAAACATTCACTGTAAGATCTTTTTGTCTCTGTTAGCATCAAAATGGTTTACAGTACCTTAACTTCCAGAACAAAGTTGATTGCATTAATCCCATCGGTAGCAATTAATTCAATGGCATCTCCCACCGTTTCCGAGCTGTCGTGATGATATCTGCATGGACAAACCAACACAATTGTAGTCGACAATACAATATGATTGTTGACACAATTTGACTCTCCTTGTTATTGAATCAGTTTGTGTCCATGCTGTATATAGATAGCTAGCGACTGTTCCAAAATCCATACTAGCATTATGCTTAGAATCAAGCATTCTATTGGGTATACAGCCAACATGTCCAAACTTCACATGAGCATTGCAGTGTGATAAGGTGCAGTAATGAAGTGTCATCAATCATATCTGACCTAACTTTTAAGCTTTTCAGGTCGCGAACAGTGAAGGCCTGGCCCGGTTTCATGGGGAAGCCATCCAGCTGAACAGCTCCATGCTGAGGCTCTCTCTTCAGCTCCACTCTCAGGCTCTCCTCTGTAGAATCATGGTCTGTCAGCAGCAGGTGGTCCGGTCCCACCCAGCACTCCCCACCCTCGTCCACTGTCAGAGGTTTAATGTGCACCTGGGGAGGGAACATACAGTATACAGCAGGGTTGTTCAATGAAGGGCCTGAAGGGATGAAACACTCCTGGCTCTCATTCTTCTATTTAAGGGCTAATTCTGACCTGGGAAACCAGCTAAGTCAATTTTCTGGCCAATTCATGATATAAATTGACCAATTAACTGCCAGGTAGAAAATAAAACCCAGTAGTACTTTGGCCTTCGAGGGTCTCAATCGCCCTGGTGTAGAGTCTTCAACCTGCTTCAGCTACTCCTAGACAGCTTGTGGTAGAGTTAGCTTGAGTTTGGCAGCGCTGGCATGTTTGTGACAGGTTGGGGGTTAGCCTACCAGTACACAGAAGTGTTAGCTAGCTTGATAACTTTGACCACCACCCTATACCTCTGGGGCCAGGTTGTCCACTGGCACCACAGTAATGTTGAAGCAGATGCCAGCAACTGTGGTTCCCTGCTGGTTGGTGACGGAGAGCACCAACTGGATGTGCTCTGGGTAAGGCCCAATGTCCAGGATGGGAGGCATGTAGGCCACTTTCATGTAGTTGACTGCATGCTGGAACGATAAAGGCGTTAGTTAACCAAGTCTGACATTTCCCCGTCCAGCCAAAGTAACGTGGGAGTAAATATATCTGAGCTTACCTGTGTGAATAACCTTAACACTGGTGCTTCAGGATCCTTGGTGAATTTGGGAATGCTGTCAACCAGAAATAGCCTCCCTGCATCATGGCCCCTGGCCAACAGGAAAATAGTACATTGAGTGTAACAGTCGAGTTGGAAGGGGGATGCCTTAAAGTATTAGCATTGGTATCATTCTTCCCCAATGGTACCAAGTGTACAGTATGCATTCTATACCTGCAAATGGCAAAAACAAACTTAACTCGACATGAGATGCTTACCCATAAGACCTGCTGTAGAAGGGCGGTGTGGTAACTGTGTATGTGAGCTCACTGTCAGGTGACTCCAGATCGATGAAGTGAAGCTGCTTCTTGGTCAGGTGGACCACCTCTGTCTCTTTGACCACCAGGCACCGAGTCACCCCAGGGACCTCTTTAGGTGGCTGGTCAGGCACAGGGTTGATGTGCACCACTATGACCTGCAAAGGTGGGAGACCAACATTAGCTTTGAATGACATTTGGGGAGTTTGAATTCAATTCAATCCAACTTTATGAATCTACAATTGTACACGATCCAGTAATGGTACTACTCACCTGAGGTTCTGAAAGGTTGGGTGGGTCATGGAAGTCTGAGAGCACCACTTCGAAGGAGTCATCAAACACCTCATTCCCTAGATGGCGGTAGTAGACCACAGAGTGGAACAGGTCCTTCTGCAGGAAACGACTGACAGGATAACCTAAGAGGACCAAGGAAAAGAACACCACTGTGTAGATTCTAGCGTAGATTCTACAAGTGTTTGGAACTCTATTGGAGGGATGCGACAGCATTCTTCCACGAGACATTCCATCATTTGGTGTTTTGTTGATGGTGGTGGAAAAAAGCTGTCTCAGGCGCCGCTCCAGATTCTCCCACAAGTGTTTAATTGGGTTGAGATCTGTTTTCAAACCATTCAGTGACCACTCATGCCCTGTGGATGGGCATTTTTATATATGACCCTGATGTGATGTTAACTGGTTAATTAACTCAAAAAACAAACCTGTGTGGAAGCACCTGCTTTCAATATACTTTGTATCCCTCATTTACTCAAGTGTTTCCATTATTTTGGCAGTTGCCTGTATATTGAAGTATTGTATTCTAAAACTGGCATATGATTATCAAACTAGACAACAAGTGGGTCATCACATAACAAAGCTCTGCAAATGTTCCCCATTGCTATGCCTTGCAATTGCATTCAGCTGGGAACCAAAGTGTGCACCATAGCTGTGCCTTGTAACTGCATTTCATTCTAAAACAATGTGGTCTATTCAGAGTGCTCCTCTCCTCACCGCTGAGTCCAGGACCAGGGATCTTCATGAGCTCTCCAGCCTGCGGCGGCCGGGTGATGTTGAACAGGATGTAGTCGTCACTTGAGTCCATGTCTGAGGCCTGCAGTATGGATCCTCTCAGCAGGGCCGTGTGGCCCTCAGACAGCTCCAGCACTGTGTTGGTGATGAGGAACGGTGGGCTGTCGTCCTTGGGCAGGATGTTAATGGGGAACTTGTGCCGGGTCTGGTGGCGCCCATCGGTGATGCGGAAGATGATGAAGTCCTTGGTGGTGTCACTGTCGTCGTGGTGGTAGCGCACGGCACCAGCAAGGATGTCGGCAATGGTGAACATGAAGCCCTTGCCACCTGCAGATTATGGACACATAGTGGGGATGTCCGATAGAAGTAATTAAAATTAGGGTAACAATCAAATGATGCCATTGAAGGAAATAATGAGTTCTATACCTCTCAGTGTTAGCCTGCCATGCTGGAGGCCGTCGACAGTGATGATGCGTACAGCCTTGAAGTTGTCGTTGTCCACAATCTGGAGCTGATCCCACGTGATTGGACGAGACTGACCTTCAAGAAGACTAAGACCTAGAAAGATCACATTGTGACATAACCATTCCATAATCTGTGCAAGATCTGTGCAGAAGTTGTGTATCTGGAATACACCCATTGACCAGTGGAGGCTGGTGGGAGGAGCTACAGGAGGATGCGCTCATTGTAATGGATGGAATGGAATAAATGGTCCCGTGTAGCTCAGTTGGTAGAGCATGGCGCTTGTAATGCCAGGGTTGTGGGTTCGATTCCCACGGGGGGCCAGTATGAAAAGAAAATGTATGCACCCACTAACTGTAAGTCGCTCTGGAGAAGAGCGTCTGCTAAATGACTAAAATGTAATGTATCAAACATATGGAAACCACATGTTTGACTCCGTTCCATGAAGTCCATTTCAGCCATTACAATGAGCCTGTCCTCCTATAGCTCCTCCCACCAGCCTCTACTGCCATTGACACCTACCCATGTTCCATGACACCCTGGGTGCATTGGTGTCTGCTGTTCTAACTGACATGTGGACCATGATCGGGGAGCTCTTCTCAAAGAAAAAGTCATGTACCTCAAACTCCACCTGTTGAAGAGAAACTACAGCTGATGGCCTGAAAAAGATGACATTCTAACCTGGTCTCAGATCTGTTTGGAATGTATAGCCAAACAAAATGTTGCCACCCATTTTGGACCTGTTCCACCACCTCTAGTGGTTGTTCCAATTCAATCCCACAGAATGGAAATTGCATCTAAACACTGGGAATGTGATGGGTCCAAACAAAGGAAACAGTAATGGGCACCTCATAGTTCCTACGCTGGGTGTGGGAGGAGTTGGGCGGCTGGTAGCCGATAAGCATATCGTTGAGGTCCACCCAGCTGAAGGAAGAGATGGGTCGCGTGTGGTCTGACAGGTGGGTGATGAAGCCCTCTAGGGGGGGCTTGGTGATGTTGAACACCAGCAGCTGTTTGATGGTCTCTCCGTCCTCTGCGTCCAGGGTGGCGGTGGAGAGGGGCGTGAGGATGAACTGATCCACTTCCAGGATAAACATGGACATGAAGGCCGGCTTGGGCGGCTGGTTGGGAACGGCGCCGGCGATGTGGACGGGTATCCAGGCCCGCTCCGACTGCATATACAAACGCAAGCACAAGCACATAGACACACAGTCAAATCACACACGCACATACAGACCAACAAGGCATTCTACTGTGTGGTTGTGCTAACTAAGAGACTGAATTTCTTAGTTGAAATTAAATTGTCCCCAACTTTTGCAGCATACGACAATAACAAAGATACAGTACTTTCACTGACCTCAAGATAAAAAATCCTTCAACATTTTGGTAACTTCTAGAAAATGATTCTGATGAGAAATAGCATAAAGTACCTGGTATATGCTCCCGCTCCTGGTGTCGGTGAGATCCAGTCGGAGGACGATGAAGTCTACGTCTGGAGACGGTGGGTCTATGTGCTGATACCTCAGGCCCATCACCAGGAACTCATCACAGGGCACTTTGGTAACCTTTGCCAACCTCAGGCCCTTCAGGCAGTCCTCAGTCTTACACATGGCCCTGGCCTTGTTATCTGTACGATTAGCAGAGGAAGAGTGATGTTAGGGGGATGTGTTCAAGGACAAGTAAAGGATTTTGGTTGGAATTCATTGATTACACTGATTTCTCATGCATTCAAATGAATTCAGTTCATGTTGAACACCACTTTTAAAACATCCAACATTGTGAGTTTGCCAATAATCTACCAAGTGTCTGTATTACTACTTTTATTACCATTACTACTAATATTTTATAATACTAATGCTATTATACTGTACATCCATACCTAGCTGCTGGCGGAGAGGAATGAAGCTCTCCGGCTCGTCCCCTCTGGCCTCCAGCTGGTCCGGCTCCCCAGTGACCAACTGACCATGACCCGGGAGGTGTGTCTCATGGGTGTTCACACGGATGCTACACTCAAGACTGGTCATCCTCTCATAGTGGAAGGACACCACGTTGCCATCCAGCGTGTCGGACAGGCCGTAGAACTCTGGCACCACCAGGGACTTGGGTCCTAGTTTGATGATGTTGCAGTCGGGTTCCATGATCTCCACACGCAGGACGAAGACCTCCGTAAAGGTCTCTGTCTCTGTGAACCTGGGGAGAAGACCATCTAGTCACACTGAAAACAGTACCAGTGGTCATAACTTCATTTTACAAGTGGGGCCAACTTTACAGAGAGGACATAAGTGAGTACAATACTTGGTACAATAAAACATTCCTGTTGCTATGTACTCTGTTTTGCATTAGTTAATTCCTAATGGGTTGGGGAAAAAATAATTGTAAGTACAGTACATGTAGTCATAGAACCTCTGAATATAATTTGGGTAGATGCAGGTACCTGTAGAGTCGAAGCTTGACAGTATCTTCCTTTAATATCGGGCAGCCATTGTGAACATACTTTACGTCATCAGCCAGGTAGTGGCAGTCAAATACCTACGATTATGATGTGAAAATAAAATCAGATTTACACTTCAGAGATGACCAAATCAGAATACACTACCATACTGTTCCATACTAAGTGTTTTAGTGCCAGAAGTTGTGTACAGGTGCAGTATATTAATTTGATCACTATGTTGTCACCGATAATTTTCCTGAGCCGCAGGAAATTCAAATGATCCTCGTGATTTAAATATTTTCACTGAAAACCCGCAGTTCTCTTTGTCTCTTGCTCGCTCAAACGATAACGCAGCCATACACATAAACAACAGTTGTTTTATATAGCTTAATAACACAAGATAGATATTTGTCTCCACTACGACAAGTATATCCGAAATGCAGCCATAGTCTACACCTAAACTATAGCCTTCTCTACTCTAGCCTTTCAAAACAAATTTCCGCTAGACATTATCACTTAAAAAAAATTAAAATCTTCCTGCTGCAGGATTATTATACTCCTGTGACAAAACTGGTCAAATAAGGATCCCACATATGTAGCTTGAGGTTATTGCAGTACATCTTACAATGGGGCATGAAAAGTGTCCTAAAAAAACACCAGCTAAAAAGGAGAGAGAGCAAAAATGCTAACAAAACCAAAAGCTGTTTTTGCCTCTCATCCAGGGTACAGAAAACATCAAACCACTGTCTTGTTTACCCATTAATCAAATCACATTCTGTATTGTGGTTTTGACTGTGGAAATAACTCAAAAATGACAAGGAATTCATTAGACAAACAAAATAGAGCAACCCAAGCTGCACCCAAACCAGCGGTTTCGTTCTGTTAGAAATATGCCATTGTTGTTTAATTAGGATAAATATACTCTCAACAGTCACCACCACATAACTAGCACCATTTAAAGCCACTACTTGACGTTCAATGTTGTTAATTGTGAACAACAAGTAATAGCGGTCTTAAACAGGGCTACACAGTAACCAAACAACTCATGAGAGTGGGTGGCAACATTTCTGGCTGTGTAGGGGTATCTCATGTCATCTCAGATGTGTAGGCTACTAGGGAGGGCACAAGGAAAAGCCCTATGTCTGTCAACAGACCTTCATTAGGCCTGGAGGCTGCCTGTCTCTCCCTGCAGACAATGGCTCAATTAGTGTCCAGGGTCAGACATAGAATGCTCAGATCTACCTTCCCTTTCCTCTTCTGAGGATCAAACATATCAGATTCAAGGGGTTTCAATGACTAATGCCATCCACTGCAATACTCACGTTGGTTGAGTTTGTATAGCCACTGCCACCAATCGCTAATATTAGCATTTTCTAAGAATTTTCTAACCAAAAGACAATTTTAATGTCCAAATCATTAAGGGCCTGTTTCCAAGACACATATTAAGCCTACGACTAAAAAGCATCCTCAATAGAGAATCTCCATTGAAAGTGCTTTTTAGTCCAGGATTTTTTTAGTCCAGGAAATGAGCCCCTAGAGCCGGCTCCCGGTATAACCGACATAAGCAGTCACTTAGGGCCCCTGGAGAGTCAGAATAATAAAATACACAAGGTGCAAGTTAAAAAAGGCTCCGATTGATTTTGCTAGTCATGCTCACTCAGATATCATGGCAAAGTAAGTCATGGCAAAATGTGTAGAATTGCAGGAAATTAGCTTTAAAACGCAAAAAAGTATCTCTGCCCGATGGCAAAAGGAGTAGAATTGCATGAAATGTATAAAAAATTGCAACATTTTCTCCCTGCTCAATGGCAAAATTTGTAGAACTGCAGAAAACTTGCTTTAAAACTGCTAAATATATTTCTGCACCATGGCAAAATGAGTAGAATTGCATGAAATCTGTTATAAAAGTGCATTATTTTCTTTCTGCCCCATGGAAAAATTTATAGAACTGCAGAAAAACTGCAACATGTTCTCTACGACCGATGGCAAAATGTGTAGAATTGCAGGAAATTAACTTTAAAAGGACATTTATCTCTCTGTCGTCAAGAGGGGGGGGCACTAAAACATTTTGCCCACTTGTAAGGTGGGCCCCCCAACCAAATCTCACTTAAGGCCCCCAAAAGGATATAGCCGGCCCTGGCCTAGAGCCTATTGTAGAACTGCTTAAGAAACATCCCATGGTACGTACTTTACCACAATCCCCCTGGCCCCTTAACCGTACCTAAACCTCCTAGTACAACAGCTTTATGATCTGTTTTTATGATCAGCAATTAGGACAATATGTTAAGCGTTGTCAGGGATTCTCATTATGGAGGAGAAACATGCCAATGACACACTGTTATTAGTGTTTTACTGCCAGGTTTACCCCAGGGCAGTTGTCTGTCTCTAACCGTTCTCCTGGACAGTTAAAGGTTGTTCAGACTTTTGTTCCAGTTGTAACAGGTAGGACATTTTCAGAGGTCCACCACCACTAAGTGGCAAGCAGGCAGGTGAAAAGACACCTTACTTGGGTTCCTGTGTTCCATGTGCAGGGTTTTCAATGTGTGCTTGTCTCCTATCATCCACTCTTAGAGGACTATTCAACGTACAACTGGAAAAGCAATGGTTACCACCTGTTCATCTGCTACAAAGAAGACAGTTACATTACCTGAGGCGACAGCGTCCCCACCCTCTGCGTGATTGGCTCGTTGAGCACCACCTCCACCTTGCAGGCGTCCTTCACCCGAGGGATGTGGAACTGCAGGTCTCCCTCCTGCAGGTAGGCCGACTGGCCCCTCTTCACCCTCAACCCCAGGTTAGTCTTCACCAGGGAGCCGTGTGACCCTCCAGCCACCACTAGCAGAAGCAGCCAGGGCAGTGCCCATCGCAGTGCCCCTCTTTGTAAACCCATCACTGTCCCTGACTCAATGGAAGCCTGTCTCCTGCTTCTTCATGGAATGGGTACCAAGTGGAGACAGTTTGAGTTATAAATTGTGAGTTGGTTGTTCTGTTGACGGCTGTGCAGATGTGGATGTGGCAGATTGTCTTAGGAGTTTGTGGTTATCCTCCTCTATGGTAGTGACTGCTTCACTTTTATTGGACAGCGGCTGAAAAAGAAAAATGTTTTGTTAGTCAGTAACTCCTGAACTAATGTGCCATGGTCATGGAAAATAAGCTTTCATAACCTCTAAAAACACAGTGTATCAGATTACTAGACAATTTGTCAAGGAGATCACGATTACAAATAGTGTAGAAAGATGTTTACATATAGCACATTATATCATGCTATTTGTGAGGCCATTTTATAAGAAAAATGACACAGTTGTCCAGTGTCCACCGTGGCCATCATCAGTTCAAAATGATGTCATCCATTTAATTCCAGGAAGAGATAGTTTGGTTTGCTGTTTCTGAGTTAATCAGCGGTATACCTTAGCTGTTTTCTCATGAGAGGAACAATGGTGTCCTTCATTTGAGACTGCTGTTCACAATGTCTAATTGGTCACAGGTCTTTGACAAAAGCTTGTATTTGGCATCTTGCCTGTCTCCTTCTGCTTAGCAACGAGCTTAGGAGGAGTTAGAGGGGTTTCCTGTGTCAGAGATCCTCCAGCTGGATATTGTCAGAGAGTCCTCCAAGAAAGCAAATACACTTTTTGAGAAAGAGCTTTCTGTACCAGTGGTATATGTCTACCGTTGTTTCTTCTCTGTTTAGAGTTTGAACAGGGCCAAATAATTACAATAAAAAGTAAGGATAAGGTCCTCTTACAAATAGTACTACTTTGTGGAATCAACTTGGCACCAAGAGCCTTGTTGGTAAGATCATATAAGATGATAGTGTCCCTGTAATACACTCATGGTTTAAAATAATTAAAAGAGTGAGCTGGATAAGCCTTGACCTCTCCCTGACCTCAAAACATCTGGATAGTGTCTCCAACACAATTACCCAAAATGCTCTGGCAGTGAGAAAGCAAGGACACAACCTTGCAACAAAGACTGCATTTCTTTGGTTCAAAGGATGAGGGGCCGAATACTTTCAGAACTGCTGTATTTCTCCATAAACATGGACTAACAACCCTGCATGGATAAATTATAATGATGCTATTAATGCATCTATGATTGCGAGACATATTTTCCCATCTTCCCTTTGGATGACCAATTGTTGTGGACTGGCACTTCAGCTGACCACAGGAATCCCTGCCAAGGACTAGTTCTTAGGGGGGGGATCTTGTTGCCTAGTAACCTTACAAGGGTGAGCATTCAGACTGGTTTAACCAGGCTAGTGTCTCAGCACGTCCCCCTAAAGATGAGTTGATAACTTGAAATATACCCTCTCTGAGCCTGGGAACTTCACAAGCTTTGAACTAGGGTCTGACTGGGAGAGACCTGTCTCATCTGTCATCATTGAACACACGGCTAAACAAGGTTCATTTCCCTGACTAGCAGTATAATAACCTGCTATGATAGATGACTCCTGTCACATTCTCTCTCTCTCACACACTAACACACAGGCGCACACAAGTGGACACACACATCCGGCAAAAGTCACTCATTGTCTATAGGACTCAAGTTTGTGTTTGTGGTATGCCATTTCCAATTTAATTTGCAAAAAACAAAAATGCAAATAAGCAAAGCCACAAATGTTTCATTTGAATACTGGTGTGCTGCAATTGAAGAGTCATTTTTGCGAGTGATGTTGATTTAGCACAGGTGTCATATTGTACTGATTGCGCTTACTCACTATGACCTCTTATACGGCCTCTCATTGTCTGCTCTGACGAAGGTGGCTTTAGCAAGAGCTTAGCTCTGGGTCTAGGGATTAAGCTAAATTACAACTGGCGTACAGTTGAAAGTCGAAATATGTAAAGAATTACTTATCAAACTCAATATCAAAGCAAACCGGATTTCCCCTCAGTAAATCATCTTTATTAAGAAACCAAAGAGGAAGTAGTAAAAAGCCCTGGAGGAAGTGAACAGTAAATCCAATTATCATAACGACTCAGGGGTCGGATTTCTCCCGTCTCTCTTCCTGGGTTTGGAAGCGGTCCTGCAGTCCCAGACATGCCTTTGTTTACTCATTCCTTTTTCAGCCTCTTTTACTTCCTCCTCCTGTAGGATGACTCCTTCCCTCCCTCCCTCCCTCCTTCCCTCCTTCATACAGTGCATTCAGAAAGTATTCAGACCCTTTCCCTTTTTCCACATTTTGTTACATTACAGCCTTATTCTAAAATTGATTAAATACTTTTTTCCCCCTCATCAATATACACACAATACCCCATAATGACAAAGCGAAAACAAGTTTAGACATTTTTGCAAATGTATATAAAAAAACAAAAACAGAAATACCTTATTTACATAAGTATTCAGACCCTTTGCTATGAGACTCGAAATTGAGCTCAGGTGCATCTTGTTTCTATTGATCATCCTTGAGATGTTTCTACAACTTGATTGGAGTCCACCTGTGGTAAATTCCATTGATTGAACATGATTTGGAAAGACAGACACCTGGTATATAAGGTCCCACAGTTGACTGTGCATGTCAGAGCAAAAACCAAGCCATGAGGTCGAAGGAATTGTCCATAGAGCTCCGAGACAGGATTGTGTTGAGGCACAGATCTGGGGAAGGGTACCAAAAAATGCCTGCAGCATTGAAGGTCCCCAAGAACACAGTGGCCTCCATCATTCTTAAATGGAAGAAGTTTGGAACCACCAAGACTCTTCCAAGAGCTGGCTGCCCGGCCAAACTGAGCAATCGGGGGAGAAGGGCCTTGGTCAGGGAGGTGACCAAGAACCCGATGGTCACTCTGACAGAGCTCCAGAGTTCCTCTGTGGAGATGGGAGAACCTTCCAGAAGGACAACCATCTCTGCAGCACTCCACCAATCAGGCCTTTATGGTAGAGTGGCCAGACGGAAGCCACTCCTCAGTGAAAGGCACATGACAGCCCGCTTGAAGTTTACCAAAAGGCACTGAAAGAAACAAGATTCTCTGGTCTGAGGAAACCAAGATTGAACTCTTTGGCCTGAATGCCAAGCATGGAGCAGGAGTAAACCTGGCACCATCCCTACAGTGAAGCATGGTGGTGGCAGCGTCATGCTGTGGGAATGTTTTCAGTGACAGGGACTGGGAGACTAGTCAGGATCGAATGAATGATGTTTGGAGTAAAGGACAGCGAGATCCTTGATGAAAACCTGCTCCAGAGTGCTCAGGACCTCAGACTGGGGCAAAGGTTCACCTTCCAACAGGACAACGACCCTAAGCACACAGCCAAGACAATACAGGAGGGGCTTTGGGACAAGTCTCTGAATGTCCTTGAGTGGCCCGGCCAGAGGACTTGAACCCGATCTAACATCTCTGGAGAGACCTGAAAATAGCTGTGCAGCGACGCTCCCCATCCAACCTGACAGAGCTTGAGAGGATCTGCAGAGAAGAATGGGAGAAACTCCCCAAATATAGGTGTGCCAAGCTTGTGGCGTCATTACCCAAGAAGACCTGAGGCTGTAATCACTGCCAAAGGTCCTTCAACAAAGTAGTGAGTAAAGGGTCTGAATACTTACGTAAATGTGATATTTCAGTTTGTTTTTTTAAACCTGTTTTTGCTTTGTCATTATGGGGTAGATTGATGAGGAAAAAATACAATTTAATCAATTTTAGAATAAGGCTGTAAAGTAAGAAAATTTGGAAAAAGTCAAGGGGGCTGAATACTTCCTGAATGCACTGTATATGCAATCCAGTACCATGCACCTCCAAAAGCTCTGCTCTCAAATTAGGTCTATCCTCTGCAACCCTAAACACACTTGCCAAGACCACACGATTTATCGGTCTATCTTTCATCAGTCTCAAAATAGAATGTGACCCTGAAAGACAGGTGAGAGCAGAAGAATTATACATTATGCACATGATTTTTCACCAGACAGTTTAGTGTGACTATCAGGAGCCGTATGGAAGAATCCCTTTTGCCACCAATGCAACTGGCACATTACTGACTTGGCTGTCACTCCAGGGCATATTGATGACGACTGACCTGAGGATCTCCACACTCTTACCACTAACTCACTAACCTAAACCACACACACACACACACTCACACACACACTGCCAAATACAGATGGCTGATCTGACGAGGGGCCTTTAAGACCATGCTTACTCACAAGCCCTTAACCAACAATGCAGTTCAAGAAAGAGTTAAGAAAATATTTAACAAATGATCTGAAGTAAAAAATAATAAAAAGTAACACAATAAAATAACAACAACGAGGCTATATACAAGTTGTGTACTATATGGGGAATAGGATGCCATTTTGGATGCAACCATGGTGCTCACAGTCACCACATCATGGATGAATTGGTTTCTTCTGCTCTGGATGTTTTCCTTGAAGGTGCAACTACAGTCCTTCCTCACTACAGTAATTATGTATGACTTGAGACCAGGGTAGTTCAGTAGGCCATACCGTAGCAAAAATGATTTCCAACCGAAAGCAAAAATGTGCATTCTTAATGGACAAGTTCAGGTTGTACCTCCCCAATTCAAAATGTTTTGAAATGTTTTCTCCCTACTAAACATAACCCAGGACAGAGTGACTGTTTTAGCTCTGTACTTTGAAATATTGAGATCTAAGGCTGCCCTTACATTACCAACCACTTCCAAGCATAGTACCTTTGCAATACGCCATTCAAAGCATGACTGACATGTGTAAGTGTTGCAGCCTTTCAATTTAAAGGCGGCTGTGTTTTGTAGTTAACAGCTGCCATTTTAATTCTAACACTGGTGACTGTGTTCTTTTCCAGTCCCTGCTCTCCCCTTCTGGAGATCTTGGAACTTGGCCTTAGCCTGAAGGCAAGGGCCAGTTGGTGGTAATGACAGTATTTCCTGATACAACCTGCTTATTTCCAGATGCTCCTTGGTGTGTTAGCTGTTAGCAGATGGGCAAAGTGTTCTGCTGCCTGGGGCTACAGTACACTGGTCCACCTCCCAGCCCAACCCAGGAGAGCCACGGATTGCCCTCCAATCAGCAGCCTTCTTGGTGCCAGAGCTAATGAGATAGAGGGAATTGGTTCCATGGCCAACTCAAAGGGCAATTTACTGTGCTGATGGGGATGGATCTGTCTTGGTCTGGTCCCAGATATGTTTGTGCTGTAGGAGTTGGCAAGATACTATAGCACAAACATATCTGGGACCCGAACACATTTTTCAAACTGGCACCAAGTCTAATTAACTATACATCACGTTTTAGGATAATGCCTTTGAAACTGTGATAAACTCGGTTTCCTAGAGGCGTGCACTTTCCCTTCGTACATTGGCTTTTGTCAGAGCTCAATCTATTAGCAATTAAAAGACCCAGTTTGCTTCGTAAAAAGGGCCTCAACTCGAAACGGTCGGACCAGGAAGTCAGATTCCTCAGATGTACCCTAACGGCCAATACTCTCCAATACTGGGTGGTATTCATTAAGGCATGCAACGGAAAACATTGAAAAACATTTTGTAATGTAAAACGGAAATGAGCGCTTCTTATTAGACAACCCCAAGTAGTCCCTCACAGTTTTTTTAGACCATTTTCTTCCATTTGGTGCCTAATGAATACGACCGGATTGTCCAAGGAGATTCCTAACAGGGAAAGGATTAGGCCCTATTTGAAAGTGGAAAGGGGCCAAATTCAAGGCACAGCTTAACACCAGGGACCTTTCCCATCACTAACCGCCCACTCCAACCATCTGCCCCGGCCCCTATATCCTGCATCCCTACGAAGAAAGGCTCCCGGCAGGGTAAACATCACTCCATAGGCCTGGGTTTTGTTCATTAGGTATCAAACTCAAGAAAAGTGACAAACAGGGAGGGACTACTACGCTCATTCCCATTTTCCATTGCAAAACATTTAAAAACATTTTTAAATGTTTTCGGTTGTGTGACCTAATGAACACAGCCCTGGTAATGCTCTGAGAATCAGAGCTATGTGAGATTAGGGAGATATCACCTGTTATGTGCTGAGAATAGTGCTTGTGTCTTTACATGCTGATGGGAAAGAGACAGTGATGGATTAGCTGATATCTCTCAGAGACAGTTTGATCTACTCTCTTTACTCTGGACTTTGGTCTTCTCTCAACATTCACATAGCCAACATCTTTATGTCGGCATCCCCCTCACTTACATATTAACACACAAATCACCAGCTGGAATGCACAGTTAAGACAATCTTGTTCACTTGGCTAGCTTGTTTCTGCTCACTGGGTCAGTGAAGCAGTGCTCACTGATATTTCTGGAGGTTAAAGCCAAAGTAGAGCTTATTCACCTGACTTTCACTACTGTAAGTCTGTCCAGTGTACCTAAATATATCTGACACCAAACCAAACAGACCAACAATGCCAAAGTTATTTCCTAAACAACAGACCAACTCAAAAGGATTCAGTGGATAACAAAGTGATAAATGTAGTATTGTGTATTCAAGTGCTTTCCCACTCGGCAAAAACTGGTTGAATCAACGTTGTTTCCACGTCATTTCAACTCAAAAGATCAATGTGATGACATTGACTCAACTTGGAAAACTGATTGGATCTGCAAAAAGTCATCAATGTATGGGGAATTCGTCTTTTTTCACCCAACTTCTAACCTAAATCCAATGACGAGGTGAAATGTTTGGTTGATTTCATGTTGAATTCGACGTTGAACTGACGTCTGTGCCCAGTGGGTTGAGGCTTTTCCAAAAAAAACTAAGACACACCAATCTGAAGTAAGCTTCTCAGAAATTTCAGACACTATTTTCCCCTCAAGCAGCCAAAACCACTGGCATTGTACTGAGAGCAAGACGTAACATGTTTTTACCAACCCTGACTCTGATTATAAGGTTAACCTCGGTTAGAGGCATTCACAGGGAGGTTTGGAGCATGTTCAATGCACCAGTGTTGAAAGGAGCTTGTGTGGGCTAAGAAAAACACATAATAATGGGGCGGAATGGCTTTTTGTTGACGTCAGTCACACAGAAATTCATTTGTCAAGCGACTAACTGCAGTACAACTCCAACTGGGTATGTGACCCTCTTAACCAACTGAAGCATGCAGCTTTTTTTCCCTGTTCTTTGTTTGTGATTATAGTTTGAGGAAGGAGCTTGACAGCTATGGTGGAAGCTTCACTTGCAGTTCAGTTGGAATCTGTTATGTTTTTACAGTGGGAAGTTATCTAAAAAGCAGTCACACAACTGTGAGATAATGGGGGTCTAATACCAGTCAGTCAATTAGGATTGAAGACAGTTAGATAAATTGATTCTTGGGGCAGATTTCTTTCAAACCATAGCTGAAAAATAGCCAGTATCTTGGATAACAATTTGTATGCCTCCTTAATCCTATACCAACCAGAAATGAAAACACATGTCCATGCTGAGTCTGTTTAAGACATAAAGGTGTGTGTCTGCAAAGCATCAAATCCAGGATGGCCCTGGACCTGGCCCCCAAGGGTTGAACTTTTCTGTCCCCCAGGGGTGTGATGCAATCCCTCTGTCATCACCTCAAGCTTACAGCTCTCTATGCCCATCACAGCACAGCCCAGACATCTGCTCTGTGTCAGTCCAAAGTTAGCTCTCAAAATTAGATAGACTTTTTTTTCTCCAACTGAAGTACGACCTGGCATCGGTTCATGTGTGTCTGCTTTCATCAATGAAACTGGTATTCGTTCTGAATAAGCCATGGTTTTATCCAGTAATGTTTTGCGGGATATGGGACATTGTTATCCCCAAGCAGAACTGTACCAGACCAGTTAGAAGTCATTAGACCTGGGAATGGATATTGATTTGTGAAATTAGGTCTGTAAGACCAGGCATGATGAGAGTTGTGATGCCCCATGCTTTTTTATTTGTACATTGGGGAGGAGACTGTTTTACTCATATCTGTGCTTGTGTGCGTGCATTGTCTGTGTTTACATAACTGTGTGAGTTAAATTGTGTCATGTGATCCTACGACTGACATATCCCAGGGCATGCTGGGTGGGTGGCCGGTGCCCTTCTGAACGCTCACTCACGCAATCCAGTTCCGGTATCTGATTGATGGGGGGTCAAATGGGGAGGACACAGGACAGCATACCAGGCCTGACTGTAAAATCAGGATAGGTTTTGAGGAGAGCGGCTGCATGATATGGGTTTTGAGGCAAAGCTTAGGGGGAATGTCTGTAGATATAGTATGTTTATTTCAATCTAGAGGGAGCTCTTGATGTCAAAAGGGACCATACTATCAAATTGATCCTTTACTGGTTTAGTATAAGACCAAGCCATATTTACTCAAGGGTCCGAACTCCGACGAATCCATCTCAACAAGATAGCCAAAGTCATTACATTTACATTTTAGTCATTTAGCAAACGCTCTTATCTAGAGCGACTTACAGTTAGTGCATACATTATTATTTTTGTATTCTTTTTTTCATACTGGCCCCCCGTGGGAATCGAACCCACAACCCTGGCGTTGCAAACACCATGCTCTACCAACTGAGCTACATCCCTGCCGGCCATTCCCTCCCCTACCCTGGACCAGTTGTGCGCCGCCCCATGGGTCTCCCGGTCGCGGCCGGCTACGACAGAGCCTGGATTCGAACCAGGATCTCTAGTGGCACAGCCACAGCCACAGCCTTAGACCACTGCGCCACTCGGGAGGTCATCACCACTGTACCTCTTCAAAGACAAGTTGACACAAACTATCACTTCCGTGGCCAGTCCTCAGTGTTCAACTGAGTATATAATTTGGGTCTTTCAGAGCTGGGAATGTAGCGCTTCCCTTTGACAAGCGGGTCCTCTCCACAGCTGGGAATGCCTGGTGATCAGCTGCCTCCGCTCAACAGCCAAGTGCCACTGCACTGCATCTCGTCTCCCTAATGACAGGCTCCTCAGCAGCCAGCAATTTCCAAAAGAAAGAGGAGTCAGACAGAGAGAGAGAGAGAGAGAGAGAGAGAGAGAGAGAGAGAAGAAAGAGTCCTGTACTCTACTCTAAACATCCCTGACCAGCATTTGGCAGCCAGCCAGCCAGCATATTCGTCCAACAGCCAAGTTGTGATGTCTCCCAGACTTCTTATGACAAGAGAGAAGTTTAATAAGTCCCAGTCCATGAGACTGATACAAAGGGAGGAAATGTAGGAGTAATGTGTCTTCATATATTTGACTTCAAAAACAGAACGGAACAAAACTGCCAACACGTTTCATAAAAATTCTTCAGGACATTTTTGAGTGACTATACTACTGAGCTCAGTCAAGATGACTCATTAAATATGGGCTCCGTGATGAACTCCTGGAAAAGTGACACGCAAAACATACTTAACAGTCAAATTTCAAGCTTACTGTAGTGTAAAGAATGTGAAGGTCATACAGTGTACTGCTGCTGAAGACTCACAGCCGTCTCTCTGTCTTAACGAGGACACACAACAACATGTCTGAAGAGGACCATACAGTAAGAGAACGTTATGAAAGACTAGAGTCCAATAACTCATGTCCTAGACTAGACCCATGAACTGACTTGAGGTTTGCACAACCACTTTATTGGGATATTTGTTGTTGCTTTGAGAGGCAGCTTTCTCACAAAAACAACACATTCTTTTGGAAGGTTTTGAGTGTGCTTTTTAGATGTGTGTGTGTAGGGGGGGACTCATTCCTGATCTCCTGGTAGCTTGAAGTACCATCATACAATCATCCTTCCTTTACACAACCAATCAGAAACCGGATTGATAAATAATCCAGAGGACCAACCTTATTTGTTTTATACACCTCGCCCTTCCCTTTCTTTACCTGAAACGTTCCCCACTATAAAAACTTTAAATGACAAGCTATACCACTACAGATCACAACTTTGTCTTTTAGTAAGGAAACTCATGTCTCATCAACTCTTCGCAACTCCTCCACATACTAATTGCCCTAAGGGGACAAATAAAAACAAAGCTGTAATGACTGCCAACCAGCAAAGCCAACAGCAAGACAGACTGACTGACATGCCCTTACCTTATTACTTCACAGCTCCTTCTCCCTCTCTTCCCCACCAGGAGCTCCCTCTGTGCATGCGCTCCCCTCTGCTTCCCACAGCAACTATCTAATTGACAGAGAACCTTGCTCACTCCTAAATGTCAATCCACACCCCACGGAGAGAGAGAGCGAGAGAGAGAGAGCGAGAGAGAGAGAGAGAGAGAGAGAGAGAGAGAGAGAGAGAGAGAGAGAGAGAGAGAGAGAGAGAGAGAGAGAGAGAGAGAGAGAGAGAGAGAGAGAGAGAGAGAGAGAGAGAGAGAGAGAGAGAGGAGAGAGAGAATGAGAGAGAGGGAGGGAAAAAATGGAGAGGAAGGAGGGAGGGAAAACGAGCCTCTGCGTGTGTTCAAGGGGGGGATCCCCCATGGGAATCATGGAGGGAAGGTTGAGAAGAAGAAGGCTGACCAAAAAGGGAAGAGACTAATCGGACCGGAAAGAACCAAAGACAAACACTGAGAGCTCAGATCAAACGGTTTCTCTAAGTGCTCCCAGGGCTGTGTGCTTGGGACCAAGACCTTGGTCATTATATACTAGGAGTAGGCTGAGAGAGAATAATATTTCACATTTGATTATCACCACACACAAAACAACAGTCAAGAAAAACATATTCTGAGCATATTTTGGAGTTTATCTACTAAGATCTTTGTCATTATATACAGGGAGTGGGGCTGAGATGTATTAATATTTCAGATCTGATTATGACCACACACAAAAAACAAGCTGGAAAAACATCTTCCGAGTATATCTTTCTAGTTTATCTATGTCTGTGTTGCTCCCATTTCCTCTTTCACTACCCCCGTAAGTTTATTTTCTTAGTTTTTCGTGTCAAGGCCATTGGCACTGTAATAATAGAACGATGATAACATCTGGAAGTACGAAAGAACACCTCCAGTCTTTTAAAAGCTTACTTTGCACGGCTGCTAACCCTACTCCTAACCTATGCACAGATGCCGCCTGAGGCCGTGTTCCATGCAGGGGAAACACCTGGGCTGTTTGGAAATCTTTTCCTGAACCATTGTCTTGTTCGCCCATACAGATAGATGAGCAAACAAAAAGCATTGTCTTCTAGAAGAGGTAGTTTTAAAAATAATAAATAAACAAATTATATATAGGCTCAAGTGGCATCACCAACACTACTTATTGTGGTCTAACGTAGCCTGAATCATGGCTCACGCCAGGTTATGGCTAGAAGAGATACGGCTCATGTCAAAGTGACGTCACGCTCTCGCTCTGAACTCGGACTTCGAACAAACCTACCCACCTGATAGCTAGCTAATTAGCCAGTTATGCTGGCTAGTTGGCAACAACAGACGGTTGCTAATTAACATTTGTAAAGTAAAGTTTTATGTTTATTTCGATGGGCGAGGAAGAAATAACTTGTATTATTGGTCACCATCTGGATGTCACGGTGATGGGGAGTCTACTCAATGGGGAGAGGGGAGAATGCATGGCATGCCGGACAGCACAACACCCGAGCACAATGTCATTCGCTTCCGTTTGCGGAGCATTGTTGTCCCGCAGTAAGGAGAGGGAAGTAGCTAACTTTAGCTACCCACTGGGCAAAAACAGGTTGAATCAACGTATGAAGTTTCCATGTCATTTCAACAACAACAGAAATGTGCTGACGTTGAATAAACATAATGAAATGTCGTATTTTTTTCACCCACATTTGAACCTAAATCCAATCCCTTATGAAAAAGGTTGCAGTAAAACTGCACAATGCTGCAATTACTGCGTCCAAAATACCACAGTCAACTGCAGTTACTGCAGTTTTTTTATGGCAATCTTTTTTTGTAAGGGATGACATGGTGACATATTTTGTTGATTTCACGTTGAATTCACGTTAGTTGACAACTCAAATAAAATAAAATCACATTTTATTGGCCACATGCGCCGAATACAACAGGTGCAGACATTACAGTGAAATGCTTACTTACAGCCCTTAACCAACAGTGCATTTATTTTTAATAAAAAAGTAAAATAAAACAACAACAAAAAAGTGTTGAGAAAAAAGAGTTTTTAAATAACAGTAGGGAGGCTATATACAGGGGGGTACCGGTGCAGAGTCAATGTGCGGGGGCACCGGTTAGTTGAGGTAGTTGAAGTAGTATGTACATGTGGGTAGAGTTAAAGTGACTATGCATAAATAATTAACAGAGTAGCAGCAGCGTAAAAAGGTGGGGTGGGGGGGGGGCAGTGCAAATAGTCCGGGTAGCCATGATTAACTCAACCAAATGTAAATCAAAACTATATGTTCAAATGACATCTGTGACTAGTGGGTAGTCAAATCAAATCAAATTGTATTTGTCACATGCGTTGAATTCAACAGGTGTAGACTTTACCGTGAAATGCTTACTTACAAGCCCTTAACCAACAATGCAGTTCAAGAAATAGAGTTAAGAAAATATTTGCTAAATAAACTAAAGTAAAAAAATAAGATTACATAACAATAACAAGGCTATATACAAGGGTTACCGGTACCGAGACAATGTGCGGGGGTACAGGTTAGTCGAGGTAAATAGTCCGGATGGCCATTTGATTAATTGTTCAGCAGTCTTATGGCTTGGGGGTAGAAGCTGTTAAGGAGCCTTTTGGACCCAGACTTGGCGCTCCGGTACCGCTTGCCGTGCGGTAGCAAAGAGCACAGTCTATGACTTGGGTGACTGGAGTCTTTGACAATTTTTTGGGCCTTCCTCTGACACCGCCTAGTATATAGGTCCTGGATGGCAGGAAGCTTGGCCCCAGTAATGTCTTGGGCCGTATGAACTACCCTCTGCAGCTGCATACCAGACGGTGATGCAACCGGTCAGGATGCTCTCGATGGTGCAGCTGTATAACTTTTTGAGGATCTGGGGACCAATGCCAAATCTTTTCTGTGTCCTGAGGGGGAAAAGGTGTTGTTGTGCCCTCTTCACGACTGTCTTCGTGTGTTTGGACCATGATAGTTTGTTGGTGATGTGGACACCAAGGAACTTGAAACTCTCGACCCGCTCCACTACAGCCCTGTCGATGTTATTGGGGGCCTGTTCGGCCCTCCTTTTCCTGTAGTCCACGATCATCTCCTTTGTCTCGCTCACATTGAGGGAGAGGTTGTTGTCCTGGCACCACACTGCCAGTTCTCTGACCTCCTCCCTATAGGCTGTCTCATCGTTGTCGGTGATCAGGCCTACCATTGTTGTGTTGTCAGCAAACTTAATGATGGTGTTGGAGTCGTGCTTGGCCATGCAGTCATGGGTGAACAGGTAGTACAGGAGGGGACTAAGCACGCACCCCTGAGGGGCCCCGGTGTTGAGGATCAGCTTGGCAGATGTGTTGTTGCTTACCCTTACCACCTGGGGGCAGCCCGTCAGGAAGTCCAGGATCCAGTTGCAGAGGGAGGTGTCTAGTCCCAGGGTCCTTAGCTTAGCGATGAGGGCACTATGGTGTTGAACGCTGAGCTGTAGTCAATGAACAGCATTCTCACATAAGTGTTCCTTTTGTCCAGGTGGGAAAGGGCAGTGTGGAGTGCGATTGAGATTGCGTCATCTGTGGATCTGTTGGGACGGTATGCGAATTGGAGTGGGACTAGGGTTTCCGGGATAATGGTGTTGATGTGAGCCATGACCAGCCTTTCAAAGCATTTCATGGCTACCGACGTGAGCGCTACGGGGCGGTAGTCATTTAGGCAGGTTACCTTCGCATTGTTGGGCAAAGGGACTATGATGGTGGTCTGCTTGAAACATGTTGGTATTACAGCCTCTGTCAGGGAGAGGTTGAAAATGTCAGTAAAGATACTTGCCAGTTGGTATGCGCATGCTCTGAGTACACGCCCTGGTAATCCGTCTGGCCATGTGAATGTTGACCTGTTTAAAGGTCTTGCTTACATCGGCTATGGAAAGCGTGATCACACAGTCGTCCGGAACAGCTGGTGCTCTCATGCATGCTTCAGTGTTGCTTGCCTCGAAGCGAGCATAAAAGGCATTTAGCTCGTCTGGTAGGCTCGCGTCACTGGGCAGCTCGCGGCTGGGTTTCCCTTTGTAGTCAATATCAGGGTGACCGCTAAAGTGCGATGATTGTAGTGATTTTCACAAAAAATGTACAACTACGGCATTAACGTCTACATTTATGTGAAAAAATGTAATTAAATTACTTCGATCAAAATTGAAGGATTCTGAACACTCTCCCTAGTGCCAACTCTCTCTGAAGTTTGAAATCACTTTGATATAAACTGTATCCCTTCTAGCCACAACCCTCTCTCCAATGTAAGCATCCATCAGTGCACTTCATCACAGTGACACCCAACTCCACCAAAGCCTAGTTTGGAATAACCTTTGACATGTGTGTCAGATATTAACAAAACACTGTGCACCATATCCCCCGCTCTGACCCTTACCATGATTTAACCCCTATAGAAATACAATTTACAAAGGATATTTATTACACTTTATGAAGTTTTACATCCTATATACAAAAAAAAGGTGCTATCTAGAACCTAAAAGGGTTCTTCGGCTGTCCCCATAGGAGAACTCTTTGAAGAACCCTTTTTGGTTCCAGGTAGAACTCTTTTGGGTTCCATGTAGAACCCTTTCCACAGAGGGTTCTACCTGGAACCAAAAATGGTTCTACCTGGAACCAAAAAGGGTTCTCCTATGGGGACAGCCAATAACCCTTTTGGAACCCTTTTATCTAAGAGTGTATTCCATATAACATGAGCTCTAACTTTTCTAAGATTCTTCCTGGAAACTGTAACACAAAATCTGTTACCTGTATCCTGAAGTTTAGAACTTAATAAAATAGAAGACAAATCTAAAAGAGGGTATGTGCCAAAACAGTTCTTCAGCTAGCTCAGTCCCTGAGAAACTGTTTGTTGCTCCCTGAGGCCCATTAGCACATGCAGTTTGTGTAAGATGTACATAAGTGGAACCAGCTTTAACTCCTGGTGCTGACACATACACATAGATGAGTGCACGTGCAAGCACACACGCACACGCACGCACGCACGCACACACACACAAACACACAAACACAGGGTAGTAACAGATAGCCTTTCTGCCCACCCTGGCAACACCCACATCCTTGTTGTTCAGAGCACCGAGGCACCAAATTAATCCTACATCAGCCAGTTAATATAAAACAGATTAGTGATTCATTAGCAAGCTGGTACTAAAGCTTTTTATTAACTTTAGGAAGTTTTAGTTGGCACCCCCCCCCCCCCCCCCTTTAAAAAAAAGAAATGTCAGTTTTTACCACAGATTTGGGGTGTTTAGATACATTTTTTTTTAAGGTAGTCGTAAGGGTGGACTCATTATGTAGAACCATGTTTGTCTGTCTGTAAGGTCAGAGCATTCCTACAACTATGGAGCACAGCTGCATCTTTGAATTAAATTAAGGTTCAGGGAACCTTGATGATCTGCTTCAGTCCAGTGAATTAGCCCCCTCTATTGACACTTTTATTTAATTACATATATAAGGTAAAAGCAGCAATTAGTGTAATGAATTACTTTTGGAAATGCATTAGGGAAAGGAAAAGGGGATATCTAGTCAGTTGTACAACTGAATGCATTCAACTGAAATGTGTCTTCCGCATTTAATTAACTGATTGATTGAGTAGTCTGTAAAAATATGATTTGGTTAGACTGCTTAAAGGGCTCCAATGGGGGCCTTGACTGCCTGTCCAACTGTAAAGTATTTCATATTGTTTCATAAAAAAAACATGCATCTTCTTCGAACAGCTTTTGTTCTTACTGTAGTTATATTTTGTGGAGCAAGGGCAAAGTCTGACCATTTAAAACATCAATTCAGGCATCGCATGTAAAGTGCTTGTTGACCCTTACAATAATGCCTTGCACTTTCTGTGGAACGTTCCCACCGTTTTTAGGGTGGACTAAAACTATATTCTGGTTAGGTTATCTGACAACTTATGCAACCCATTCTGCTGCAAAAAAATCATTCAGTCTCTAGAACAAAATTATACGGTATAAAACATTTTATCATAATTTTACATCAGCAGCAACTGAAAATCTCAGTGCTTTTTAATTCCAAAACTAAACGGGGGAACAATGTTGTACTCAGCCCCCATTGCAGAAACAGTCACTATAATGATGCTTGTCAAATGGAGTGTGACATTCCAGAGGTTCTCTGTGTGATCCCTAATTGCTTTCACAAAGTTCTGACGGTTCCTGGAGTTCTAACAACCCAATTAGTGAACGACCCGCCTTTCGGTCCTTTCTGTCCTTCTGGGGCATGAGATTGAGGCTTGACCGTTTCTCACCATTCTGGGATCAGACAAGAGGACGATAAGACATCGGTTCATCCCCAAAGTCTGTTTGTGAAATTGGAAGATTTTTTTTAAATCAAAGGTTCAAATTGGCCTTTTAGGTGGATTAGCCTACCGCTGAATACAAGGTTTGATTGTTGAGCTGCCTGTTTGAGGTGCTTACATGTCATGTTGTTCCTTCTCCTGTTGAATTGTGCCTGGGGCTTATTGCTCACAGATGACTTGGAAGGTGCCATTGAGGAGAATAAGGAATTGGGCAAAGCCATTCTGGAGATGCTGCACATCAATAAGCTGTCTGCACCACATCAGGCCAAACCACACCCCTACATGAGACAGGTCTATCAACTTCTGGACACACAAGAGGCCCGAGACTTGGGAAGCTCCGATGGAACACTGGTGCAGAGTTTTCGGAGTGTCCTGGGTAGGAGCCTAACTTGAAACCGTTATACAGTAAATAAGATGTTTCCTAACATGGATTGGTCCTAATATGGAATTTTAGCAATATGTTTGATGTCTTATTAGCTAGTGAAATTCCTGTTAGTCCTGAAAATAGTTATAGTTCGCAGTTAGCTAATATCAGCTTTATTATACCATAGTTGTCCAAGGAAAGTTGTGTATGTGATGTTGTTAATTGATGCCTGTGTTTTGTTCCCAGCAACATCATGTCTATGTGGGCTGTTTATGTGTTCTGTGCTGTGGGCCAACTTTGGATGCAATCAACTAGATTGATTAACATTGTCTCTCTTTATGTTCCTTGGACCAAGCAGGCCCACTGCATGCCCCCGCAGGATGGATCTGGTTCAACGTCTCCCACCTGAAGCCTTCCATGGCCGTGGCTGAGCTCGTCCTGCTCCGCAAGACCCTCCACCCCAACCCCCTCAGTGTCACGGTGGCCCTGCACAGCCTGACCAGGGGGGCGAGTGGCCTGAGCGTGAGCCCTCCCCTCGAGGAGAGGATCCTGACCCTGGATCAGCTACCCCTGTCTGGCTACGACGTGTTTGACGTGTCCCCCTTCATGTTCTCCTCCAAGCCTCTGGACGTGGTGGGCTTCCAGCTGCGCTACACGGACGAGAGTGGGAGCCTGGTGCTTCACGAGGCCCTGACCCAGAGCCTCTACTGCCTGGGGGGCGGCTCCCTCAGCGAGCCCCTGCTGGTGGTGTACCGGGCTAGGCCGCTTCGCCACCAGACGACGGCTGCCACCAATGGGCTCCGGCCTGAGCGCAGACAGCGCCAGCACTGCCGCATGAGGAGCCACGAGAGGAGGAGCCTCTTCCTGGCCAAACGAAACGGCTACAAGCGACGTCGCTTTGATGCCACCCCTGACCCACAGTGTCGGCTCCATCACCGCTATGTTGACTTCAACAAGGGCAATCTGGCAAACTGGATCCTACAGCCGTCAGGGTTCAATGCTACCTTCTGCAGGTGGGAACGTCACACAAACATAGAGTGAGCTCCAGGAGTATTGGGACAGTGACACATTTTGTTGTTGTTTTGGCTCTGTACTCCAGCACTTGATACAATGACTATGAAGTTAAAGTGCAGACTGTCAGCTTTAATTTGAGGGTATTTTCATCCATATCGGGTTAACCGTTTAGAAATTACAGCACTTTTTGGACATAGTCCTCCCATTTTAGGGGACCAAAAGTATTGGGACAAATTCACTTATATGTTTATTAAAGTAGTAAAGATTAAGTATTCCTAGTACGCAGTGACTACATTAAGCCTGTGACTCAAAAAAATTTTGGTCCCCTAAAATGGGGGGACTATGCACAAAAAGTGCTGTAGTTTCTAAACAGTTCACCCAATAAGGATGACAGTCTGCACTTTAACCTCATAGTCATTGTATCATTTCAAATCCAAAGTGCTGGAGTACAGAGCCAAAACAATAACAATATGTGTCACTGTCCCAATACTTTTGGAGCTCACTGTAATTGTTGTTATTACAGTGGTGAGTGCCGATATCGATAATTCAATACCACATTGATATCGGTCATATCATAACAATATCGATATATGTCGATGTCATTATGAGCGAGGCATACAGCATCACAATATTGTTTTATCTAAGGGTGACACCTCTCCCCCAATCAAATTCATGTGCACCTTAAAAATGATGACTTAACTACCCAAGTTATGATGTCATTGCAGCCAGATTTGCTTGCTGACTGGGTAGTGAAGTGATCATCCAATGCAGAACCTTTGTTGTGTTTATAATCAGAGTGTTATCCCATTTCAGTGGTACCTGCCACATTGGGAATTCAGGAGTGTCCATAGAAGGATTTAGAACGAGGAAAAGACAGACTGAGGAGAGATCAGTCAATAGGTATGTGTTGAGAACTCGATGTCCACTATGCACTATAGATACTGTGGTAGCCCTTGTGTAGCTATATGTAGACAATACTGCCCTACAAAGGCAAAATGCAGTAACTACACTTTCGGTCAAAATTAGGTTAAGACTGAAATCAGGCTTTGTGGTATCTGTTTTATCTTGTGACAGTGTCCTGGTTCAATTATGTTCTGTTTCAGAGAAAATTGAGTTTGAAATTTGCAGTAACTACAAAATCCAAGTAAAACAGCAGTAACTGAAGTTACTGCACTTTGGCTTTGTTTCACCATGTTTTGACTTTAGTTACCCGCTCCGTCATGCAAAGGTAAAGACCAGTAACTTTGCAAACAGTGAAACATGGCTTTAAAGTTGATTTGCTGTCCAGACAAATACAGTATATTGTAGGTAGATAAGTGATAATGCACTGATTTATCATCTTATTATGAAGTAATGTTTTATGCATATAATATGCCATTTAGCAGACGCTTTTATCCAAAGCGACTTACAGTCATGTGTGCATACATTTTTACGTATGGGTGGTCCCGGGGATCGAACCCACTACCCTGGCGTTACAAGCGCCATGCTCTACCAATTGAGCTACAGAGGACCACGTATCAACCATGACCACTGATTTGACCTATGACCCATAAGTCAAATAAATGACCATACAAAGTCAAATAGAAAGACAACAAGAAAATTGGATAAACACATTTAGATTGTAGATATATCTTTTTAAAGTATAAATGTTCTGCGTGATGAAATATTCCTTACCTTATGGTGGAAAAATGCTTGAGGGTTACTACAATACAACATTCAAAACATGAAAACACAACTACATAACACCATTAAATACAGTTGGAATGTAGTTAGAACACTCAAGCTGTTTCCATCAAACAGAAAACAACAGAGTTGAATAAACACATTTAGATTGAAGATACTGCACTTTGCCTTTGCATGACCCATATAGTTGTTTAAGGTCATACAAAGACAGCGGGCAGTATCTGCATTTTAGGGGTCATGGGTCAAATCAGTGGTCATGGTTGATGTGCATAAAAATTGATTGATAATAAGATGATACATCAGTGCATTATCACTTATCTACCTACAACATAATTGGCTGGCTAGCAAAAAAACTTTAAAGCAACTTTTCTCACTTTCACTGCTGCCGTAGTTAATGTGTCTTGCCTTTGTAGGGCAGAATCGACATCCACTTTGTGTAGTTCCATATCCACTAGGACTATATTATTCTGTAGGATTGTTGTAATTAGGGTTGCAAAACTCTGGTAACTTTCCCAAAATTCCCAGGTTTTCCAGAAAACCGGATGGAGGATCCCCGATTTCCTGCTTATTCTCTCCTGATTCTGGGACTCTTCCAACCGGGATTTCTGGAAAACCTTGATATTTTGGGAAAGTTACAGGAATTTTGCGACCCTACAACAACATTACTGTAGTTGTAATATTGAGTTTCCTTCAATTTCAGCTCCAACTGTGTTCCACTGGAGCTGTCATCTCTCACGGTGATGTATAGGAGTGAAACAGATGACGTCATCGTCCAGAAGTTTAGAGATGCAAGGGCAGAGAGCTGCATATGCCAGCCACAGGCTAAGCATTGAAACCAGCTCCCCCACATACAGTATTTACCCATCCTAGACACTGGAGGGCGAAATTGCTTATTGAATCTGAAGTAGGAGACCGGCTAGTAGACCAGCTAGTAGACCAGGGTGAAAAGGATTAGGGTCATTTTATGTTCCGAAGAATCAATGAACGAGGGTTGATAGACTGTATGTTCTGGTGTGGTGGGTGAATTAAAAATACACTTGAAAAATGTTCTCCTGTTTACTACATGTGTTACAATCAAGAGCTTTTAGTCCATCCAATACAAGCATTAGAATAAAGAATCAATTGAATACATTTCACTGACAGGCTTTTTTTTATAGGACTTGTCATTTGGAAGTGCAGCAAAACAGTTTCTTACCGATGTATCCTACATTATAGGCTAATTTACATATTGTACCTGATCCTTTCAGATCTACAACGGTGCTTGTAGGGTTAGGGGCTCAGAGCAGGGTTGGGGTTGATTTGGAATTTAGTCTTTCCTCCCATAGAGCTAGTGAGCCACAGATTGACATCCAATACCAAATTAACCCGTAGCCCTTACCTCCGAAGCACTTGAAGATATCTGAAAAGATTTGATAAGTGTAAGCAAATATGTACAAAATCCCAGCTATCAAATGTCAAGTGTAAACCAGGGATTTTTTTAAAATCGCGGCCCGAGGAGCAGTTGTTGGTTGTTCACTTCCTTGCTTAAGGGCAGAACGGCAGATTTCTTCACCTTGCTGGCTCAGGGATTCGAACCAACGACCTTTCGGTTATTGGCACAATGCTATTAACAACTAGGCTACCTAGGGGTCAAGCTGGGATTGGGCAGAAAGAGGAAGTACAGCCCACTACTTAACAGCCAAACATCTGATTGGTTGCAGCTGTAGTCCTTTAAAAACGCAGCCATAACTGTGGGGGAACGATGATCCGATTTGTTCGGTGACAACCGGGAGGTTCCGTTAGAAGTAAATGCAGAGGGAATAGGTTGACGTTTGTTTGTTATTTACAGTGTTAGATTGTGCATTATTCTACTTGTATTATCAGGGTGACATCTGTGTCGAGGGATAGGCTACAGTATGTTTATTTTATTTGGATGAAGCGAGCAGGCAGCAAGTTGCAAGAATTGGATCGCCAAGCGCTGAACCTGCCGCCTGCGAGCCTATGATCCGGTATATTTATCGGTCTATGAAGCCTACTGTATGAAATTCAAGTATGTCAGGAAAACATTTTAAAGGCCATGAAGTCAGTTGCTGCATCAAATATTTTATTTTTGGATTTAACATAATATTTTGGGTAAGTGTGTTTTTCTTCTTGCTATTTGTCTCTCTTATTGTCTTTCATTGGGCAATTTTGAATCTGCAATCTATTTTAAACTGTAGGCCCAGCTAGAGGAACTGGCTTAAGTGATATTATAATAGCCTAATTATTGTGAATAATATTCCCTTGATGATTTTACGACCAAGATGCTTCACAAGCTGTAGGTCTATTGATGTATTAAATAATAGTCTGTTAAAACCTATTATAAATGATAACGTGATCTTTCGATTTGTGAATAGCAGCAAACCACTTTGTTTGTGTTGGCATGCATTTCAAGCTCTTTTTACCTTGCTTATTTAGGTTTGTTGACATTCACAATAGCCTTCACATAGACTCCTACTCAGAGCACTTTTTTATTTCCAGTCTCCACTGCCCCCGGTAATCCGCTTTCTGTCCTCGTTTGTCGGGACCAACTCACATGACACGTGAAACGTTTTTCTTCACATGCAAATGGGGCCATAAACATAATTATGCCCTATTTATTACCGTCATCGGACTACATTCCCAGTAAGCAAAATTACGTGAAAAAAATGACTAAAAGACGTATTATCCAGACGTTGAAGTTGCATCTTTGAAAAATACGTATTTTCCAGACGTTTTTGGGTACATACATATTTTTCAGTAATTTATTCTATGGCCCAATTTCAATGGTACATACTGTACATTCTCAATGAATCCATTTAATATAGGAAAGATTGCAGTATAGAATATTTATTATTGCTGCCATCCAGTGGTGGAAAAAGTACCCAATTGTCATACTTGAGTAAAAGTAAAGATACCTTAATAGAAAACGACTCAAGTAAAAGTGAAAGTCACCCAGTAAAATCCTACTTTAGTAAAAGTCTAAAAGTATTTGGTTTTAAATATACTTAAGTATCAAAAGTAAAAGTATAAATCATTTCAAATTCCTTATATTAAGCAAAGGTAGTGAAGTAAACGTTGTCAAAAATATAAATAGTAAAGTAAAGATACCCCTAAAACTACTTAAGTAGTACTTTCAAGTATTTTTACTTAAATACTTTACACCACTGCTGCCATCTGTCACATGCACTTATGTTAGCTTTTACAAAAGCTTTAAAACTGGCAGTGATAATGTTCAAAGTAGTCCTACTAAATAAACCAACAGTCCACTTCAACTACAATAACATTCTCAGTAACGGCTAAACTTCTTTTTTCCTTGCTAAGACTGTGATCTGTTGTTGTTTATCTACCCTAATTGAATGCATTGACTGTAAGTTGCTCTGATTAACAGCATCTGTTGAATCACCAAAATGTAAATGTAAAAAATAAACACATGCAAAGCATATTATTCTAATGAGCTCCGCTCCCAAACAAGTACACATTTGGTCAGTCTGGACTAGACCGAATCTGATTGAATCATAGACATCTAGGCTATATTTCATTAGTTTGAACAGCACAATAGAGTATGGCACAGCTCAGTACAGTACAGTACAGTACGGTACGATACAGTACAGAATATTTGTATTCAGTAGAGTACAGTAGAGTACTGTACAGTTTAATTTAGTAGAGAACAGTCCAGTAGAGTACATTAAAGTAAAGTAGGGTACAATACAGTACATTATACTGTACTCTACTGTATTGTACTACACTCTACTTTTCTTTACTGTACTATACTGTACTGTACTCTGCTGTGCTCTACTGTACTGTGCTTTGCTGTCCAAACTTGTGAAACATAATGTCTATGATTGGTTCAGATTTGGTCTGGTCCGGACTGGACCAAATCTAAACCAAATATAGACGTTTATGTTTGGCCAATTCAAGGCCGGACCGGACCGACTCTGAACCAAACATAGACGTCTATGATTGGTTCAGAATTGGTCAAGACCGGACAAAAAATCAATGTCCATGGACTGTGAAATCAAGGCCGGTCCAGATGCACCAAAGAAGACCAAAAAAGGATGGCTGGTCTGGACAGGTAAAAAAAAAAAAAATATATATATCCAAAAGACGTTGGCCTTGGACTATGTATAGTGGGTTATGTCTACTCAATTCCCACTCAGTTCTTCCTTGTGAAAAGTAGGCCTGGCCTAATGAATGTCCATTCCAAGACAGCTTATTGTTTACCTAACACTTAGCCTACACACCTAATCTTATTGTGACTAGGCCAATTAGTGAATTGTCTCAAATCTACTGTGAACCTATACTATTGATTGTAGTGACTTCATCTCAGACAGGGAGAGCTCATAATATGATACCAAGTAGCTGGTAAAATAGGTAATTTTCTAAATACACCTCTCTATTGTTGGGAGAACATGTTTTGGACTCATGTCTGTGTTTCTTATTCCCCTTTAGTTTCAACTGCCCTGTTAGAGAAATGCATGAGCCAGAGCTTAATGGTCATTTCCAGAGGGACAAAGTCAATAACAAGGACAATTTTATATAATAAGCCTATCTCTGAAAAACAAGTCTTCCTATGATGCTTTTTTCTTCTTTTGGCTCTGTATGGTTTTGGACGGGGAATAGGTGACTAAGGAGAGTTTTCCCCATTAGGATTACGTCCAGGTCATGTGACTCTCTAAAGTCTTATTCTGGCTCGCAGGAGTTTGGCAGAATTGGTTGCGTGGTCAATTCAATGCTAATGTAATCCCATTCAACGGCCTCCATCGCCTTTGTTCCGTTCAACCCCTCTCTCTGACCTCCCTCCTAAAGTCTGTCCCATTCGACATTGTCTGCTTTCAGTGCCATTGACCATGTCCATGACCGTGAGAGCCAGTGGTCTGCTAATGGTTTGAGGGTTATTGTGGTTGTAAGTGATGGAGCTGCAAGAGCCTGATTTGCAATGGTTCTAGCCACGTAGCTGGCATGGTATGCATTCTGTACTATAATCTACTTTTGATAGCCTATTTGTGGTAAAGCTGGTACAGATATTGAGATTACTGGGGATGCTGGTGAATATTTAAGGTCTTTATGGGTAATGCCTAATGCCAGTAACATCTCTGATGCTACGATAAAGCAAGCTAGCACCATAGAGATTACATTTACATTTTAGTCATTTAGCAGACGCTCTTATCCAGAGCGACTTACAGTTAGTTAGTGCATACATTATTATTATTATTAATTTTTTTATACCCCCTGTGTGAATCAAACCCACAACCCTGACGTTGCAAACGCCATGCTCTACCAACTGAGCTACATTGGTTTGCATGTGCGAACCCCTTTCCCGTGGCCGTTGTCTTCAAGATGTAACGATATAGCCAAGATCCGTGTGAGAGGGCTTTGATAAACTACACAACTATATCTTAAATGTATTTTGGAGGGTACAGTGCATTGTGTAGAAGTGCTTATGATATCAGATTTATAAATGGAGCTAGTGCCACTGAAGAGAGGTTGCGTCAATAATTTATTGCTGAATTTTCAATGGGATCATGAGTGTAGTATCAGCCTTAAACTTTCTGCCATATTCTATTAAGAACAAAGTTTATCTTTGTCATTGAAGCCACACATCCATGCCATGGCCAGTTAAACACATTCTTTAAAAATAGTAGGCCTAACTCACTAAAATCACTATCAACCACTTTTAAAACGATAATTTATAACCCAAAGAATTGTCATTTTATCTGACATTGGAAGGTAATATTTGCAGACTTTCGCACATTTGTGTCAGCATTGTATCAACATTGCAGAAAGTTCTCATGGAGCTGTAATGAATTAAAGGCCAGTGGATAAATAAAGGTTT